GATAGAGGTGTCACGGCCACATAAGCATAGAAAAATTACAGCCATCACCTTCTTTAAAAGCCCCATCAACATTGAACTTGAGCCACCCTTCCTTTGGTGGTGAACTTCGTTGAATTTTTCGCTGTCGGTCACATTGCTTCGGATTAAGTCACCAATGTTTCTCCTACTCTACCTCTTCTTCAAAGGCTACTTTTATCCAAAACATTGATCGTAGCTTAACGAGCTGAAACATATCTTCTTGAGATAACATTTTTCCATAAAAAATTGTTTTATTTCTTGATAACCACATTGCCAATGTCGTTTCTATTGTAATGAACCATAAACTTCTTTATGAGCCCGAAAACAGATCATTTATGCAAACGATCCTTATTTTTCTTAAGTACGGTATCTGAGCTTCTTGCGAATATCTTCAAGTTTTTACAAGTATTTGGAGCTCCTAAGAAGCTCAGATCCCATACTTGAAGAAAAATTAAGATCATACTCCAAGTAATATCACAAAGTATGGTGGAAAATAGGACTGTAAAGTAACAGCATCTGAGACAATAGAATAACATATCATTGTCAGAGCTTTCCATTCACAATTCAAGAGAAAAATAAATAGGTTACTTAAAGGGATGCGATACGTATCGATCATTTATTTGTAGAGAGTACAAAACTAACCTATTTTTCTTCCTTCTCTCACCTCAAAGTGCAGAAAAAAAATAACTGAGTGGTTTAAGACGAGTCATGAGTCTGCTGATGAGGTCTTGCATACCATGCTGATGCTTATCTTTATTACCGTATTGCATTCAAGCTTATGATTCCAGGGAGTGATTCCCACTCCAACAAAGAATAAGAAGAAAAAGAACAAGAAAGGTAAGAAATAGGCAACCCATCTTTTATGCATTGATTGAATGAACAGTATTGGTGTTATCTTTTACTTCATACGATAAGAAATATAATGGAATGAACAAGAAAGATTTTACGAATAAGAAAATTAGACAAAAAAGCAGATAATATCACAGCAAATCAGAAAAGAAAATCCAAGTCACAAGAGGATCATCACCACCATTGCATTTTGATGATTCCCACAACAAATTCTAGAATAGTTTTCTTACTTGTGAACTGATATATAAGAATTTCAAATATGACTGCAATTTTGCTAATATTTTGTTCTAATTTCATATAGAGATGAAAAAGAAAACAACAGCATAACCATTCATCTTTTCTTTGGGTTTTCTAACTAACCAAACATTTTACTAGGATTTGCAACACAGAACCAACACCATTTTCATTTTAATCTGTTGAAGCAAAAGATAACAATACTGTTGATTTCATCAATGCATGAAAGATGGGTTCATCTATTTCTTACCTTTCTTGTTCTTCTTCTTGTTAGGGCTGGAATCACTTCCATGAATCATAAGGTTGAATGCAATACGGTAATGAAGATGAGCATCAGCAATGGTATGCAACACCTCTTCAATAAACTCATGATTCGTCTTAAACCACTCGGTCATCCCTCTTCATCCCTTTAACCGCCAACTCGTTCTAATCCAGGGCATGCTTTTATATAGTTGGCTATGTATGCCGGTAAGATAGAAAATGATCTTGAAGTAGCAAGAAAGTCATTATAAAATTGTAGAATAAGTTTAAATAAAAAATCATTATAGTAATACGTAAAAATTATAAAATAATATTAAATAAAAATATTTTATAGTATATTTAATTAGAAGATTAAATAAAATTAAATGAAAATGGTATATGCTCTCGTAAAATAAGTTTAAGGTCTTTAAGTGAGAACTTGGATTTTAGGATATCTAGAGTTATGGTTTTTATAAATTAGGATATGTTGGAAAATAGCTTATGCATGCTTAGGGTTTAGTTTTAGGATTCACAAGAACATTAGGGCTCAACCTCAAACTTCCCAATGTTTCAAAGAAAAGTAGCTAACTTTCAGTTTCTCGCAGCTTTTACCCGGAATTTGCAACACTTCTAATTCAATCCCGGGTTTCAAATTAAAATGGGATTAATAGCACAATAGGTCCCCGAGCTTATAATGTTCCGCATTTAAAGTAAAGAATAATAATCTTTAATCTAATTGCTTCTGTTTCATTATTAGATATGTTCGGCAGAAGACCAATATTTTATTAGTTTCAATCCATTCATGGGAGCTACACAGGCATCCCTCTGTTTCAATTCTTATTGCCTACCTTATTCTTCCCAAACTCTGTCTTCGGAAGAAATTAACCCATTTCAATTTTATTAAAACGATAGTGAAACACCGAGAAAATGCCGATTAAGATAGTCCTTAAAAGCTAGAATTACTCAAGGGAACGCTTCCATTGGAGAGGATGCAGGAAAACATAATGCATACAAAAATGCTCCCACGCAACATAGATATAAAACAACTATAGAAAAGGGTTCTCTCTGTCCACTGCTTGTTTTGCAGCAAAAATCCGTAGATCCTAATGAACCACCATGGTCTTCCAGTTGCGAATACAATGTATCCCGCACTCAGTCCCAGCATCAACCCACATCCATACCCCATCAATATTGAAAATTTCCAATTCAATTCATCATCACCATCATCTCTATTAAATTTGGCTGGAGTTCCCTCACCATTATCACATCCTTTTGATAATGGCAGCCCGCATAAACCCAAGTTTGCTATGTAGGAATCATTAGTGAAAGTATCAAATTGTTTGCCTTGAGGAATTGGGTCCCTCGATATTATTTCGAGAAAGGTTTAACACTGCTAAGAAGCTAAGATTTTTCAACTCTGTTGGAATTCTTCCATGAAGCTTGTTTGATGAGAGATCTAATGATTCAAGTTCCGACAGAATTGGTTTAAGACAATAAGTGAATGAAGCTCTCCAGGTGTCTTAGGAATTTCTCCGGAGAATTGGTTGTTGGAGAAGTCAATAACTGTCCATATGGTTAACAGTTTCTCAAACTCCGTTTCCAATCCTTTTGTTTTAAAAGATAAACCGAGCACAGTGTACACCAATCCATCGGCTTCTACATCTTTTATGTAATCTGGTTTTACTTTGTTTTCATTCCCTTTTATAATGGCATGCAAATTTTCAAAAAACTTCATAGGTAAATAGCCAGTGAAGTTATTTCAAGAAAGATCAATGACATGCAAATGAGTGAAGGAAAAAGTAACTCCTAAGCTATCCACTTGGCCATAAAATCTGTTCGATCTCAAGATAAGAACTTGTAGTTGATCCAAATTTCCTAACCAATTTGGGAAAGTGTCATTCAAATAGTTGTTTCCAACATCGAAAAGCTTCAAATCTTTGCAATTACCCAAAGATCATGGTAGCGACCCTTCTAGTTGGTTTCTGCAGATTATAAAACTTTGTAAGGTGCAAATTCGTTGCAATGAAGAAATGTTGAAGATTGAGGAAGGACTAGGACCTGCGCAATAAATAACCAAACTTGACATAAAAAAAACACTTGATGGCTCAATACACATCCAAGATAATTGGACTATTAATCACTAGAATAATTATAAGGTAGCATATGTTCAAAATTTTCTTAACTTGTTAACAATGTGAACACGCCCTCCTAGGACAACCGCTCAATGGGTTCAAGTCATACATCAATGTTTAAAACAGTTGTTCATATAAATTGAATAATAAAAAAACAAATGTAGTAGAAATAGGAACTATTTACCACTGAAGTTGTTATATGAAAGGTTGATCTCCTCGAGAAAATTAAGATTTCCAATGACCAATGGAATTTTGAAACATATATTTAAATTGATGAGTATTTTTCTAACATACCTTTACTTTCTTTGTTAAGCATTGTAGGCTCTATTTTCCATTATGAAAGAAACTCGAATTTACGAGTCCCAAACAAAACCACTAAATAAAAATGAAATAAAAAAGTGAATTGTTTACCTTTGAGATTGTTGTAACCGAGATACAAGCATTGGAGATTAGTCAACATTCCAATTTCTATAGGCATATTTCCCTCCAAAGAGTTGTTGTATAATGATATAAACGTCAACTCTTTGCACTTGAATAAGCTTTTTGGAATTCTACTAGAAATTTGAGTCCCTTCTAGGTCGAGTGCTTGGTATTTAGAAAGGTTGTCAAACAATCCTGATGGTAGATGACCTGCAATACGATTGTTGCTTGTAAATATATTCAAGATCGAGAAACATATGAGACGTGAAAGTTAATTATATTCCAAATATATCCATATCATGTTTGAAAGATTTTGAATTGTTATTTTGACCTTTGAGGTTGTTGAACAAGCTCAATGTTTCTAGCTTTGACAAATCGCTAAGAGTGGACGGGATAACACCAGTGAAGTTGTTCATGTAAAACAAGTCTTGAAGTTGAGCAAAGTGACCAAACCATGATGGGAGACAAGGAAATTAGTTAACGCGGTCGGTAAAGAGCCATGGAAAATATTGCGACGAATGTTTAGGGAGACAAGGAACGATAAATTTCCCAATTGAGATGGGATGGTGCCTGTGAGGTCCATACTTGACAAATCCAGAGCAGTGACTCTGTGGTGTCTGGATCCACAAGTGACACCAATCCAATTGCAAACAGAGGTAGATGTGGAGATGTTGGGTGAATCCGCAGATAAAATAGCTCTAAAGGTTGCAAATAGCAGCAGAAAGATAAGAGCAAGGAAGGGAATTTTTGCCATAAGGTTGGGTGTGGGTATAACGCAAATCATGAAGAGAGAAAACAGCTGAGTTTAATGCTTCTTTAGTGTTAGTTCAAGGTCTTTAAATAATATGGATTTAGTCACAAAAAGTAAGGCTTAAAATGCAAGACTTAGTCTCAGGTTGAAGACTAGCACTAAAAATTGTGGCACTAAAAATTGTGGCACTAAAAAGAGAACCAAGTGACGAGGGTCAATCCGTTGATGATTTGTTGACACCCACTAATGGAGCTACCACAGGCATCCCTCTGTTTCAATTCTTAATTAGCTCCTTTGAGTATCCATTCTTTTTGCAATATTTTTGTCCTAAGCCACATCAATTTTATTAAAAAGATAGTGAAAAACCTGGAAAGTGCCTATTAAGATGGTCATTACAAGCTAGAAATACTCAAGGGAACGCTGCCATTGGAGAGGTGCAGGAAAACACAATACATACAAAAGAAAGCACCCACGCAGCATAGACAAAAAAACATTTATACAAAAGGGTCTGCCTACCACCATGCATTGAAGTTTTCTGCTCTGTCCACCGCTTGTTTTGCAACAAAAATTCGTCAACTACTTCTCTTTTTTACCTTTTTTGCAAGTCTTTGCCGAACTCTTTCGTAGAACCTAATGAACCACAATGGTCTTCCAGTTGCGAATACAATATATTCCGTACTCAATCCCAGTACCAACCCACATCCATACCCCATCAATATCGAAAATTTCCAATTCAGTCCATCATCATCTCTATCAAATTTGGCTGGAGTTCCCTCATCATTGTTACAGCTTTTTGATAAAGGCAGCCCGCATAAACCCGAGTTTCCTATATAGGAATCATTAGCGAAAGTATCAAACTGTTTGCCTTGAGGAATGGTTCCTGTGAGATTATTCGTAGATAAGTTTAACACTGCTAAGAACCTAAGATTGTTCAACTCTATCGGAATTCTTCCATGGAGTTTGTTTGATGAGAGATCTAATGATTCAAGCTCCGATATATCACCTAATGATGATGGAATTGGACCTGTTAAACAATTATGAGAGAGGTTCAGGACAATAAGTGAGTGAAGCTCTCCTAGTGTTTTAGGAATTTCCCCGTAGAACCGATTGCTGGAAAAATCAATAGCTGTCCATATGGTTAGCAGTTCATAAAACTCAAATTCCGATCCTTTAAACGTAAAAGATAAACCGATGGCATAATTCCACACTCCAACTGCTGATCCATCTGTCATGTACTCTGGCTTTTCTTTCTTTTCATTCCCTTCTCTAATGGCATGCAAGTTTTCAAAAAATTTCACGGGTAAATAGCCACTGAAGTTGTTATGAGAAATATCAACGAGACGTAGACGAGTGAAGCAAACCGTAAGTCCTGTGCTAACCACTTCACCATAGAATCTGTTCGATCTTAGGATAAGAACTTGTAGTTGATCCAAATTTCCCAACCAATTCGGGAATGTGTCATTCAAATAGTTGTTTCCAACATCGAGAAGCTTCAACTCTTTGCAATTACCCAAAGATCGTGGCAGTGACCCTTGTACTCGGTTGCTGCTAATTCGAAAACTGTGTAACGAGCAACCTCTAACAAAATTTTCTGGTATTTTACCATGAAAATTATTCTTCTCTAGGTCAATATGTGAAAGAGAACTCATGTTTCCAGTGCATTCTGGGATTTCTCCATCCAAACTATTCTTGTATAAAAAGAGAACCTTAAGTGAACCCAGATTGCATAACGAGGAAGGGATTTGGCCTTGCAGAAAATTTGGAACAGAGTTAGAATTATGAATTTGGATAATCTTTGAAACACATAAATAATATTGTTTGTGAAGTAAAAAAAAAATATTCCGATTAAATAATTTCAGAATTTATATTTTAGAGTTTAATATTTATTTTGCATAAGAAAAAGACACAATGAAAGGGCAAATTGTAAAGATTATTAATATTAGGGTAACCTATACCAGATACCACCAAACTTTAGGCGTTGTGTCGTTTATACCACTGAATTTTCAATTTTATCAATTATAACACTGTACTTTGATTTTCGTTTCAATTATACCACTGGGCCGTTAAATCGTTAACAGACAGATCAAAACAACGTATTAACTAAGTAACAAAAATCAAAGTTCAATGCTATAATTGACAAAATTGAAAGTTAAGTGATATAAACGATATAACGCCTAAAATTCAGTGGTATCTTAGCTAGTTTACCCTTAACTCTAACATATAACTAAGTAAAAAGAAAAGCAAAATATATTATACCTGTTAAGTTGTTCTCAGAAAGTTCAAATTCTTCGAGAAAAGTCAAGTTTCCAACAACGGATGGAATTTTTCCTGGAATATGTGAATAAATTTACTAAACATGTTATTACGTTAAGAAACTATATAATTAAAAAAAACTTCAATGGTAAATAACTCGTCTATGTCTTAAGTACATTACTAAAGCAGGATGAGTCATTTAACTTACCTGATAAGTAGTTTCGTTCGATAGAGATATACTTGAGTGAAGTTAAATTTGAGATCTCTATTGGCACAATTCCCTCCAAATAATTATTATCCAAAAACAAAAAGTTTAACTCTCTGCATTTGAATAAACTCATTGGAACTCTTCCAGAAAGTTGACAGAATTCCAAATTAAGATAATATAATCGAGGAAGATAATCGAAAATGTGGGAGGAGAGAGAACCAAAGAGATTGTTGTATCCCAGTGAAATAGCTTGCAGCGAGGAAATGTTGAAGACTGAATAAGGAATATAGAACCTGCGCAATAAATAACCAGAGTTCACATTTTTGACATCACGAAAAGAAAATATTTAAAACTATGATAAAATTCCCAAACGAAGAGTTGTATCAATCCAATCTTTAATCTTCTTTCAATTCATCTACACCCAATTTGTTGAAAAATGTTTACATGACAAATGGTAAAACTTGTACAAGAGAAGAAATATGATATTGTACCTTGTAAGTAGTTTTTAGAAAGGTCGATCTTTCTAAGAGAAGTAAGATTTCCGATAACCGATGGAATTTCACCTGATACATACAAAAAAAGTCATAATAGGGAACCATTTCCATATTGTATTCTACATTGAGAGCTTTGCTTTTCAAATGAAGTCCTTCTTCAGAATTTTGTTGTTATAACTTTGTTTGTTTATGATTGAAGTTTCTTTGAATTGAGCAAAATGATGAATTGTATAAAAAATTGAAATATGACAATATACCTGTTAAGCTGTTATTAGAAAGGTCAATATACTCGAGAGAAATAAGATTCTCAATAATCGATGGAATTACACCTGAAACATACGATAAATATGTCAAAATTTACTAATATTTTTTCTACAAGACCCTTAATTTCTTTGTTGAACACTGTACACATGTTTTTCTTTCTTCTTCCCCTTAAATACGAAAATTTTATTCGATATTTTTTTATCACTTATAAAAGCTCTAAATAGTTTGAATTCCAATTTAAGTACATCTTTACCTGAGAAGTTGTTATGAGAAAGGTCAATATACTCAAGAGAAGTAAGCTTTCCAATAACCGATGAAATTTCACCTGAAACATATGATTAAATCCGTCAAAAATTATTAATATTTGCTTATAAGGTAGTAGTTTAAGTCACAACACTTATTGACAATTCATGCATTGTCACACCCCAAAGTATGGCTTAAAATTTTTCTTTAATTCCGATCAATTCAAATTCTAATTTCGGTTAAAACTCGAGGTTAATTCGAACTTCTGTTAACCTACGAACTGAAAACCTAAAGCTTTGGAAGCCTAGTGGCCTAGAGTGCAATTTACCCCCTTTCATTTATTTTGGGATTGGTCCCATGAAGGAGGAACCAATTCATGTAGAGCTTCAAACTTCCCCACAATTTCTTCTCTCTCTTCCATTATTTCCTTTTTCTCTCTCCTCCAAGTAACTTCGACATTCGTTTCGCCACCATTATTCAATCCGATGATGACAATGCCCTCGCCATTGTCTTCCTCTCAATGTCCCACGTCCGTCAGTACCAATTTCACCCTCACCGTCATCGGTGTGTGGGGGGATGAGAAGAAATAAGTTTCGACGAAGCTTTATCGAATCCTCTGTCTTTCTTCGTCGCCAACCAACACCAGTAAGTGTCACCCCGTGTTGTAAAATTCAATTATGCGTATTTTGGTGGCCGACCGACCACCGAAAACGGTCGCACGCGTCGTCGTCTCACGTGGGCTTGTTTAAGATCAGTTGATCGATTTGAATTTTCCCTCCGACTTGAATCGACCCAACCCGACCCGAACTGATCCAAGTCGAGTTGAGCTTAGTCAAGCCGAGCCGCGTTGACCCACTTTGACCGGAGTTTGCTTTTCACCAACACCACCTATCCTGAGGTTTTTCGATGTCTTGAGTTTGATTTTGTGGTCCGTTTCGAAAATTTTCAATCCGGTAAGTTGTTTTTAAGTATTTTTTCATATGATTCGATCCGATTTTCATGTTTAAGCTTCGTTTCTGATGTAATTCATTTTGTCTTGTATCCGAGATATTTTGGGATGTTGAATTCAATTCAGTGGTAATTCAAATTCATGTCTGAATAGAACTATGAATTAGTAGATTAAATTCATGATTTGATTGAAGAATTCTAATAATTGATTCCCAACTTTTGAGATCGCTATATACTTGGATATTCTGATTTCATAATAAATATCTGAAGACCAATTTATTGGAAGTACTGTATGAATTCAAATTGGTTTAAAAGATCAAAATACTCTGGAGCACCGAAACGACTAAAATAACATGGAGTACTAAGATGACCTAAATACCCTTATGACTTGGATTAAGTGAATGTCTTTCGATAGACTATAAGAACATCAATAAACCTACAATGGAGCACGACCCAAGCTGTCAGACATTTCGAATACTATTACAATATAAAAATAAAATAAATACCAACGGAATATATATTTGTCTACTCGAGAACCGATCAATGATGATTCTGATGTTGATAAGTTCAGCTAATGCATTCAGTATTAAGAAGAGAATAATTGTGAAGGATCTTGGTCTGAATTATTGGTAAGTATCACACTGTTAAGATCTGATTAGTCTGATTTGATGTGAAATTTGGATAGTTTGATATAAATCTTATATGTCGTAAATCATCATTTATTTCACCATTGGATTAAGTCACCAAGAATTCTTTGAGAATCAAAATGTCAAAAATGGTCGTAGCATACTATGTAATGGAATCCCTCTTGGTATATATATATCCTAAATACTTTCAGATATATCTTAATCATAAAGGATTCTAATGTAAGGTTGAATACCTTTCTGAAGCACCTAAAATCCTAAATAGTCATGAAGCATCAATTTCAAAATGTCTGATTTGATCCATTAGTAATCGAACCCTTTTTATAGGGACATCGTATCTGAAATCCGATCAATCTACAAAATTTCTACGTTTTCCCTTCTTGATAATGATCAAGTACCTCTAAAAAATAACTGAATCTTCTAGTGTGTTCCCTATATACTACATGACCGTTTTATTTGTATTGAAAATTATAAATTGATATCTAGTTGACTTACGATTATTTTTATTGATATTGATTTATTGGTTACTTGTTTTACTGGAAAATGAAATATGCCTGAGATATGGATTATGAAACTACTAGTTACTACTTGAACTGTTTTATTGGGACACTATCTGGGTAGGTTGGAGCATGGAGGTTCAGCTCTGATCAAGCTGGTAATTCCTTGCGGACCTAAGGTGACCCTTGGGTAGGCTCTCAAGCCCCAAGGTACTCCCTTGGGTAGGTTCTGAGGCCCCAAGGTATTCCTTGGATACGCTCTAAGGCCCCAAGGCATTCCTTAGGTTGGATCCTACGCCCAATGGGCCTAGGGTAAGTTCTTATGGATGCAGTTCTAGGGAACTGCATATTGGTCCCCAGGTGAAGGGTATTACAGTGATTTTAAAATCTATTTTACTGAAAAAAACTGTTATTATTTTTAAACTATGATTACATTTATTCTGATTTTGTGGCAACACATTAGACATCCTACTCCTATATCCTAAATCTGTCTCTCTGAACTGTAAGTTTCCTGACGGTCACCTAAAGTTTTAATAGTGAAATTTTCTCATCACTAGGATCCGTAAATACCTGGATAACTAAGGAAATTTCATGCTTTATCATATATATGCTTGTCCACTAGCATTTATTTGGTAGTAATGTATTGTTGAGCTTCCTAAAGCTCACTCTGTTACTTACCATTTAAGGTTAAAGATCGATCATATGCGGTTATCGACATCAGTATGGGAGTTCCTTCGGCACTTCTTGAGAGTACGGTACCTGTGTAATTAGGGGGCATGTAGGTCGCATTTGATTTCACTGAGTCTGAAACTTGTTTTTTTACACAGTGTATTATTGAATTATGTTTTGATATTTGAATTTATTCATATATTAAAAAGGTTCTACAATGTTTAAGGTTTGTAGGCTAAAGTTTTCCTATTCGTTATAGACTTTCAGAGTGGATCGCTCCGGTAACTCTCATGTGACACCTCATATTGGATTGAGTCACCCGTATCGGTCTGAGGGTGTTACATGCATGATTTTGTTTTCCTCTGATTAAGCGTGATTTTGTTTGAATCATATGTCCTTTTGTAAGGTATCTCAATTGAGGTTTTATTATAAAAAAAATAACTTTTGCCGTGCGAAAAAAAAAGGTTTAAGTCACAACACAGTTAAACTTAATTCTTGTTGAGAACAAGAAAAATGTATAAATAAATGAATATGATATTGTACCTGCTAATTTGTTATAAGAAAGATCTATGAAAATCAGAGAAGTCAAACTTTCAATAGCCGATGGAATATCACCTGAAATATATAATTAAATCTGTTGAATTTTATTAATATTTTTGCTGGCAGACCATTTCTTTGTTAAGCACTAATATATCTTTAATATTTGAAACAATTGTTTACCTTCAAGGTAGTTGTAACCAAGATATAAAGACTGAAGCTTCGTCAAATTTCCAAATTCTCTGGGCATAGTTCCCTCCAAAAAGTTGTTAGACAATGATAAAAGCATCAACTCTTTGCATTTGCACAAACTATTGGGAATGCTACCAGAAATGTGATTCCCAGTCAAGCTTAATACTTGCAACTTGGACAGGTTATCAAATATTCCCGACTCTAGATGGCCTGCAATGAAATTATTTGTTGTAAAACAATTTTTATTAATGAACACATTTGAGGATAACACAACTGGACAATAAGAGAAAAGGTAATAGAATAAAAGCGAACGAAATACGAATGAGGAAATGTTTACCTTTGAGGTTGTTGTAACCAAGACATAAAGATTGGAGCATTGTCAAATTTCCGATTTCTCTAGGTATACTTCCTTTCATAGAGTTGTTCCACAATGATAAATACCTCAACTCTTTGCATTTGCACAAACTATTGGGAATGCTACCAGAAATGTGATTCCCAGTCAAGCTTAATACTTGCAATTTGGACAGGTTATCAAATATTCCCGACTCTAGATGGCCTGCAGTGAAATTGTTAGTTATATAAATCTTTTAACTAATGAAAATATATTCAAGATCGAGAAAGATATGGAACCTGAGAAAGAATTATAATCCAGATATAACCCTTCCAAGTTCGATAGATTTCCGATTGTTATAGGAATCTGCCCTCTGAAATCGTTGCCATACAAGACTAGACTTTCTAATTTTAACAAATTTCCCAAAGTAGATGGGATAACACCAGTGAAGCTGTTGTTGCCAAAGTTCAAATATTTCAGCCGATGCAAATTAGTTAACTCGGTAGGTAACGAGCCGTGGAAACTATTGTGATGAATGTCGAGCCAGCCAAGGAAAGATAAATTTTCCAATTGAGGTGGAATGGTGCCTGTGAGATCCATACTTGACAAATTCAGAGAAGTGACTCTATGGTGTCCGGATCCACAGGTGACACCAATCCAATCACAAACAGAGATAGAAGTGGACCAGCTGGTTGCTAGGAGGTTGTGCGGATCATGAGTTATATGGGATTTTAAGGCTAAAAGGGCGATTTCATCGGTGGTGATGTTGGCAGACAAAGAAGCCCTGGAGCTCGCAAATAGCAGCAAAAACCAAAGAGGAAGGAGTAAGGGAGTTTTTTCCATAAGGTTGAGTGTGGGTAAAATGCAAATCATGAAGAGAGAAACAACCGAGTTTTAATGCTTCTCTGTTGTCAGTTCGATACTCTTTATATACTTTGATTCTAAATAATTATTGGCCACAAAAAGAAAAGGCCAAAAATGCAAGACTTGGTCTGCAGTATCAGTGGTCCATACATCTCATTGAGTATCTTATTTTGATTGGAATCAGACATATTCATCAATCAGTATCATTTGTTACTTACTCTTCACGGCTTCTGCTCGATTCCTTATATTATCCGGCATCGGAAAGACATTAATCGAAACGAATGGTCACCCTTTCCAACAAGTAATTTCATACTTTGTCACAACTAGAAGACTTCAACCCTTTTACAAGACTGTCATAATCTTCCAGAGAAACAGAAGTGACCAAGGCCAAAGACAAACAATACATATAATTGTTTTTATATTATATTATAGGGTAAACTACATAAATGACCACGTAACTAAGGGTTGGGTCGCAAAATGACCACTATTTTTAAATTTGTGTCAATATGACCATTGAATTGTTTAAATGGTTTCAATATAGCCACATGTCGTTAACATTTGATGGGAGTGTTTACGTGGCAGTTAATAAAATTGTGTATAATTAGGGAATGGGTCCTTATAAAGTTGTGTATTCGCAACACTGACAACCTGCTTTATTTTCTTCCATTTTGGTCACTACTTGTATATGACTTGTTTCCTTGGATTTTCATTTAATGCAATTTGATCCTGATTCTGTTTTTAATTTGTCTAATGCTTTAATTTGAGCATTAACTTTAAAATCTTTTATTCTAGTCGTGTATTAAATTTATAGATTAAATCCCCTAGATATTAGAATTAATTGTTGAGTCAATTCTCACACTTGTTATCAAGATATTACATTTGTTATATAACTTGTTTAGGTTTAGGCAGAAAACAAAACTAAAATAACTTAATTGCATTAGAACTCAAGATCAATTAGTAAACTAGCGAATCCTTAACAGAAGATGGACACACTCGCCATGTACTGGGCATTAACAAAAGGATCATTGACTGCAACCACATCAATATCATCCCTTGAAGTTGCTATTCGCAAAACCAACCTTCCAATCCGACCGAAACCTGCAAAGGTTGATTGCAAAAAAAAAGGTACATCAAGCTTCATAGAGAACAAAAGACTTGAATCAAGGTAAAACTACTCGGTTTAGTACTGTAAGACTTGAAAACAATTCCTTCAACAGAATTCTTATTCTCTCCCATGTTAGTACACATGTTTAACAGGCCCATCCAATGATAACACAAAAATGTTTTTAGCTCGACCTACCTCAAAAGACATAATAGACCAAAAATAACTGAACTAAAGGTCAAAATACACTACCGATAGGCTAATATTATACATGAAGTACGATCGGCAGTTCTTCACAGCCATTTGTCTCCCGGGAAAGATTGAGTACCACAAGCCTTAAGATACCTACCCAAACCTCTCGATTCACAGTTCCACACTTACCACATGAGATAAGCATGAGATGCTAGTCCTTTATCTATTTTACAAGCATACTCGCAGTTCTCAACAACGCAAATGTGCACGATAACGGAGTAGAAATAATTCCTACGTTGATTAAAGAAATACCACGGCAGGGATGCGTATAACCACCAAATAAATCAGAGAAACCTTGAATCAAATTAACAGAACTTACCCTTGATTCCAATCTTTGTTTTCCCACAGCTCCGTGACTCTAGACAAATTAGTAAACAAGACAAAAGCAGAACATCAGTTCATACAGCTTCTGAACTAAGATCAAAATAATTAAACAAGTCCTTGTTATCCTTATTACGCTTCCCAGGGGTTAAAAATATTAACAATTCTTACTCGGAATTGTAAGAGGAATTTCAGTAGCAGTGGCTTTGATGGGTCGGATACTCCTTGAGTTGCAGCTTCTAAATTAAAAAAGTAGTATCAGAGGAGAGAGAAAAAGCCAAAAACTTGCACAATAAGCAAAAAAAAAAAAAAAACTGAACAGCCAATAGACAATAGTGATAACTCAACTGTAAGGAAGAAGATCTAATTGAAACAGCAGCACCAAAAAAGGAGTTGAAATTTCCACCAAATTCAATGCTTGAAACCTAAAATTAAAATATCAACCAAAAAATAAACTCAGAAAATAAATTTAAGTTAAAAAAAATTCAGGGAGGTTTTTTTTAATGAGGTATTGAAACAGTGTACTTTGTAATCATATCTAATACAAAGTAACATTTTTTTAAAATAAAATTAAATAAAAAAAGAATTTTCAGAATTTCATAAGTTCATCAACATAACGAAAACGAGTTAACAAACAAGGCTCAGTCATCAAACAAAACGAAAAGTAACACAGTAAAAAATCAACATCTACTCCCCAAAAAAACTAAATAAAAAAAGGCTTAATATTTATTGCAATTATTAAGACTCCGTTTAGATACCGAGAAAACATCCTAGAAAAATAACAACAATAAAAAAACGATTTGATGTTGCACAATTTTTAATCATTCAGCCTAAGTTCAGTTCAGCTCAGCTCATCTCTTAGTATTTATTAACCTTTAAAAACAGGTTAGAAAAAGAAAATACGAGAAAAAAACGTTTCAGTTCTTTTGAAAGCAGTATGCAGTGCTGTTCGGAGTAAAGTTGATGATCTTGAGATTATCGGAGGTCGAGAGAGAGAGGTCAGAGCGAACGGAGGCGGAGATGGTGGCGGCGGCGACGATGGTTCTAATGAGAGAAGAAAAAGCCATTGCAAATGCTTTCACGGATAACAAATCTACTAATTATAAGATCCATTAATTAATTACTTCAATATGTATTTTTCATTGAGATTATGCCAATCAATCATATTTTTAATAAACTAACCATTTATTACAAGAGTTATTAATCAACCATTTGGATTTATAATTCGTTCATATTAATTAAATGATCAAAATTTTGATACCTCCCAAAATAATTTTTTAGTGAAAAATACGCTTAATTGTTGAACAATGTTAGATTGTTGTCAAAGAAGAGAAAAGGAAGAGCAGGGGGAATGTTAGACTGCTGAAAATACAGCACGTGCATGTAAAGGTGGTTAGTCTGTTAAGTTGGTTAGCTAAGTCAGTTAGTTTGTTAGATGGTTAGTGGTTAGCTAAACCATTGTTATAAAAGCAGTGTACCAACTAATATGAATGGATGGGCAATTCTTTACTGTGTATATTCTCTGTTATACACACTTCTTAACATGGTATCTTTCGCTAAAGTCCTGAGAATTTTGGTTTCACGCTTCTAAACTTTCTTTCTCTCTGGTTCGCTCATGGTGCACAATGGGTCTAGTCAGCAAACTGCTGACACAGTTGCTACTTAGATCTTACAATTCTGTCATGGAGTTGAACGAGGGGACAGCTGGAATTGGATCTAATAAGACGGCGTCGGAGAGTGATGAAGTGGCGGTACCCGAGTCGCTGCAAGTTACTGATAAAATCTGCCGTTTGATGTTGGCTCCGGTGACCGATAATTCTAGTTCTTTCACGGCTCTGCTTGAACCTCCGGCTCTCCAAGCCGTTCAGCTCATTCAATCTCCGGACTCGTCTAAGCTTATTGCTGCTCCAGCTCCGGCTCCGAACGTTGATGTTTTCAAAGGCAGCTTTCATTTTCCTTTTAATAGTGGGTTAATCGAACGAGCTGCGAAGTTCTCTATGTTCACCGGAGATGATATTGGTAACATCAACGGCAATAACAAAAGCAACTCGCCTGAACCAAGGTCGTACAATTCAAGCGCCAGTCACCAGAAACCGGTGAAGAGCGAGCCGGGCGAGACCGAGACACCTCAGCCGTTAGTTTCTGATCCAACGGTGGAGAACCGGAGTATCAAGAGAAAAGACATAGGAAAGGTCAAAGGGTCGACAAAGAAAAGCATAACAGCGGCGGAAGAGAGCTCCGACGACACCGAAAAGCTACCTTACGACCATGTTAGATCTCGCTGGGGACAAGCCACGGATAGCCATTGCTCAGCTGAGGGAGCAAGGATAGAGACGATAAATGCACGCATGAAGCTTCTACAGGAGTTGATTTCAGGATGCAGTACGATCTCGAGCACAGCGTTGGAGTTGGATGAAATCATCAATCACGTGCAGTCCATACAGCGTCAAGTGGAGTTCTTATCAATGAAACTCGATGCAGTTAACCGGGGAATTGATTTCAACCTCGATAGCGTATTCACAGTAGACATTTGGATCTTTCTCACTGCCAACCTTGCTATAGAGATTATATCGACAGTTTTCGACCAGCTTGCTTCAGTGCGTAAGCCGGGATTTTCCTTGGCAGCAATGTTAATGTCTTTCACAGGTTTGTTCGGATGCATAACCGAGCTAGCTTATAAGGGTAGAAAGGAAAAGGGCAGATGGAGATGGGATAACCCCACAACGTATAGGCGTTTCTGTAATTTTGCAGATATATTGGCCAATTCTGATAATCCCATCAAGCTCAACTTTTGGCCAATTCTTTTTGCAATTGCTCTTTTGTGCTCTCATTTTCTAAAGGATCGAAGTTGGAAGGCGTCTCGGCTTTTTCATGAAGGTCATACTGCAAATGCTTCTCAACAGATCAATGTAGCTGCGAATATGAAGCAGAAGGTTTACGTGTAAGGAGGATGAAGAACTGTTAGTAGTTAAGTTGCGAAACATTGTTATAGAATAGGTTTAATTTTTTAGAATTTTTTTGTTGAATGTTCGTTCACATCAAAAGTTTGCATCGATTGAAGTCGAACGGAGGGAAGCATCGGCACTTCCGATTCAAGTCGAACGGAGGGAAGCAACAACACTTCCGATTCAAGTCGAACGGAGGGAAGCATCGGCACTTCTGATTCAAGTCGAACGGAAGAAGCATCGACACTTCCGATTCAAGTGAACGGAAGGAAGCATCGGCACTTCCGATTCAAATGTTCATCTTTTCATCAAGAAAGAAAAGTAGAGGGAATGTTAGATTGTTGTCAAAGAAGAGAAAAGGAAGAGTAGGGGGAATGTTAGAATATACACAGTAAAGAATTGCACATCCATTCATATTAGTTGGTACACTGCTTTTATAACAATGGTTTAGCTAACCACTAACCATCTAACAAACTAACTGACTTAGCTAACCAACTTAACAGACTAACCACCTTTACATGCACGTGCTGTATTTTTAGCAGTCTAACAAACAATAAATGCTCAAACATTCTTATAGATATCATGCTCGGTTTATGATCCTCTAGGAGTATAATAACAATTTTTCTAACTATTAAATTTGACAACCCACAAACATCCTGTTAATATAGTTGTTCGAACTCAATATTTTAATGAATAAAAACATTCTCGTTAACCATCGGAGCCTTTTATGAATTTTATTTTTATTATTTTTTATAATTTTAAAAATAAATCGATGATCAAATCGGATCCGATCCGAGATTCCGGATGAAAGAGTTAGCAAAGTAGGGTATTTCCTAAGAAGATATGAAACATTTGATGAAGACAAGTGGGGGACTGTGTGAATCACGGAGTTGAGATTGTCGCGTAGCCGAGGAAAATGAAACCTCATAATTAACTCGGCGGATTCCTCGAAAGCCAAAGTGGACCGACGTGACCCAAATTTTTAGGGCTTTTATTTTTTTTCCCATTTTTTTAGATTTTCCCGGTGGCTTTTTTTTTTGCTCAATAAGGATAACACATTTTTTTAGCTAATTAGGGCATTTCGGTTTATATTTTGCGATCTATGACATTTTCTATAATATTATTAAAACTCGTCATGTCTATGTGACGAGTTTCGATAAAAAAATATTTTTTTATTCGAACTCGTCACGTTGAGGTAACGAGTTCCAATAAAATATAATTTTTTTATTAAAATCTATCACATCGAAATAAAAAATTAGAATAAAAAATATTTTTTTATTAAAACTCGTTATCTTTGTGTTACGAGTTTCATATCACTATAGAAAATATTATAGATCTCAAAATAAATTTTTACTTGCCTTATTAAGCTAAATAAAAAACTCATATGCCGGACCAATTTTGCCTTTCCCCATCCTACACGTCGGCTCTTGGCCATTTTTAATTAATTTTTTTTAGTTTTAATTGATATGATTTTTATCATGTAACTTTCAATTATTTAATTTTAATAGTAAACATTAGGGTAAATTATATTACATATCACTAAATTTTTCATTGACTTGGTTATATCAATGAATTTTTATTTTATTAATTATATCATTGAATTTTAGTTTTGTATTCAATTGTGTGGATACATCATTAAAGTCATAAACAAGACGATGACATGACTAACGATTGTTAATGTGGTATGTCAAATTAAAATGAAATCATTTTGGTATGACTGTTTTAATACCTAAAACGATGTTATTTTAGACACTGAACTTTAAGTGTATATCAAATTTATCATTTAACTTTTGAACAATTTTATTTTTGGTAGTGCACTTTCCCGTAGCAACCGACAACCAAACATTGATAGTCTTTTGCAAAATAAATAAAAAAACCATACAAAAACATTTCCATTTGACTATTCTTTCTTATGTTAGAATTCGTTTTCCATAAAATGCACTCAATAACAACGAGAAGAAAAGAAAAACCAAAAAAAATTGTGACATTTATTCAGGTCGTAGACATCATTAAAATATGATTTTATCATATCAAATCAACATGTTGAAGTCCAACTCATAAGACTGTTAATCTTTAAACAGAAACAGATAATTTCGGGACATATGAATAATCAATTGACCATTAAAATATGATTTTATCATATCAAATTACATGTTAAGTCCAACTCATAAGACTATTAATCTTTAAGCAAAAAAAAGATAATTTCGGGACATATGAATAATCAATTGAGCATTACAATATGATTTTATCATATCAAATTAATATGTTGAAGTCCTACTCATAAGACTGTTAATCTTTAAACAGAAAAAGATAATTTCGGGATATATGAATAATCAATTGATCATTTTATAATTTTTAATAGTCGAATGATTCAACAATATGTCATATTTTGAGGGGTATTTTATAATTTTAAATAATCGAAAGACTCGTAACAACTCCATATAATCAAAAGAATATTTTTGTATTTTATCCTTTTTTTTAGTAACCTACTAAAAAATTTTATGTATTAAAAATTTTTCTAATTAATTCACTATATATATTATAAATATATCTGATCGAATTTATAATCTTAAAAAATATTTTATTTTATCGTTGAAGTAATTTGATGAGTTGAATATGAATATTATTTTTAATTTTATCAATATAAAAATTTGTTACATATTTATATTACCTCCGTCAAATATTATGAAATTTTTTTTTTTAAATAAACAACTGATAACACATTACCTATCTCAGCTTCTCGTCCAGTTATTATTAACCACGTGGAACAGAGAACTCTTGTCCAAACTGAATTCTCTCACTGTTCGACACGTGTCATTCCCAGATACCCCATTTGCCACTTTAGTCTTTTTCCCTTTCAGAATTCGAAGGCACTCTCTTCTTTTCTTTTCTTCATGTACGTTCAAAATCTCCCTCAGTTCCTCTTTCTTCTCTCTTGTTTTTATTTTATTTTGTTTTTGTTTCTGAGAAGATTCAGCTGCAAAGAGGAAGATAAGTAAATTACAGGTGAATTTTGTACAATTTTAAAATTGGGTTTTTCTTTTTGGTTAGAAGTGTACAGTCTCTTGTTTGGTTGGTGGGAAAAAACTAAATAGAGAAAGAAAATATTTTCTGGGTTTTATCTTTTTTGTTTTGCTTTGGGTTTTTGAGACCCAATCTTAAGCTATAACCAAAGTCAAAACCTCAGTAACTTCGTTTTATTCTTTACTTTAAGGAATTTTGTTATCAGGTCGTAGTTAGTATCATGAATCGTGCATGGTTATTTTCCTAAAAGATTAAGTGTTATTTAGGCATAAAAGAATCATTAAAAACTTTGGGGTTTTATTTATTTTCGTTTATTTTATCTGTTATGAGTTAAAATTGCAATTACTTGGTTAATTACATCTTAATTGATGTTTTTCTTTTCTTTAGTTTCTCGGTTTTTTTCCACTATCGATATACTGCATACCCTTTAGATTTTATGCTAGCGAACTTATAAAATTGTAGTGGCGAAAACGGAAAATATCTAAATTACACGAGAATTTAAAATTTTGGAGAATCGTAATCCGTACTCATGTTCGAATATGTGTTGAAACAGGTGTGAAGAAGCTAGTATTTTTGACAAAAAAAAAAGAAATAAAGAGTGAACATTGATGAATCTAAGTTGAGAAGAATCTACTCATCTTTGTTTCCCCCTTCGTTTAATCTTGATCACCTGTCAAATTTATCGAAAATTTAGAGATGATTACGGTTTCGGACCTTTCGGCGTTATTCGCCCTATTCTTGGTGTGTTATTTGAATCTTGAAAATGGTGAAATGAAGAATGTATCTTAGCAATATTACACTGTATTATCTGTTTTGATATGTTCTCTGTTACCTTGATTGGCGATTGCCAGGTATTAGGCTAGTGAACGAGGGCGGAGGGATTATCGGGAAAAAAATAACATGAATCGATCTGAACAAACTGAACAGAAGCAGCTGCTGCCTGTGATTGGAGTTGTAGCTGGTGCCGGTCCTCATCAAACTGTTCTCACGATCGTTTCTGGCACTCCAGCAGTGGCGGTCCCTTCACCGACTGCTTTCTCTAGTTCGCCGCACCAACTTGCCTACCAACAAGCACAGCAGTTCCGCCACCACCAGCAGCAGCAACAACAACAGCAGCTTCAAACGTTCTGGGCCAGCCAGATGCAAGAAATCGAGCAAATGTCGGACTTCAGGAACCACAGTCTCCCACTTACGCGGATCAAAAAGATAATGAAAGTGGACGAGGATGTGCGGATGATATCGGCAGAGGCTCCTGTAATTTTTGCGAAAGCCTGTGAGATCTTCGTCTTGGAACTCACATTGTGCTCCTGGATCCATACAGAAGAGAACAAAAGGAGGACGCTGCAGAAGAATGATATCGTAGCCGCCATTTCACGGACTGAAGTCTTTGATTTCTTAGTCGACATTATTCCGAGAGACGAGTTAAAAGAGGAGGGACTCGGTGTCACCAAGGCCGCGCCATTCCTTTAGTTAGTTCACCTGCTGATATGCCATACTATTATGTTCCACAGCATCCGTTGGGGCACGCTGGGATGATAATGGGAAAACCAGTTGATCGAGCTGCATTGTACCCTGGCCTACAACCTCGACCAACCGTGGCTTTCATGCCATGGTCCCAAGGTCAGCCGCCACAGCAGCAACAATCTGAACAGCCACAAATTGATTCTTGATGGAGAAGGGATGAGCCCCAAGACATTGTAATATCGACATTTCTGATGTCATTGCATGACTGGTTTATCTGTAGTTTAGATTGTCATCATAGATTTACCGAGTAGCCGGACTCCTAGTTTAGGATTTCTTCGATTCCAGCTTTTGATTCAGGTACGGACGATACAAGATCTCAAAGTGGTTATGTGTTCATTTTTAATCCATGAATGATTAACTGGAAAAGTTTCATCCAAGCTAATTGCTTATATTAATACTGAAACCGCATACATTTATCTGTTTGCAAAGAGGTAGTTTGGATGTACAACTGGCCAAATTAGGCTAAGCCTGGGTGAAGTTAGAAGATGAGCCTGGGTTTTGCATACATCGCATGGCCATGCAACGATGAGTATGTGCACGGCTTGTTTCCACCCTTAAACTTGAGCTCTGATGCTGTCACCCACGAACCTACGCTGTGAGCTTATAAATACAAGCATTGTAGTTTGCCGTTGAAGTTACTTATCCTTAAATGTCGATGAATATCGCTTTGGCTTTGGCTCCGCCATTAAAAGGATAGAGAACTCAGTTCTCGATGTCTGTATGTGTTGACCCTAAAATTAATTTTACATGTAAATAAACTTGGGATTTTCATGTACGGGATTTTAATGGTCGGTGGATTCTTGTAGATGGGGACCTTGGGCCTCAAGAGGCTGTTGTTTATCCTAGACTTGCACTTTACCAAGCAACTGCAGGTTGCGTAAATCCGGGAATGCATCGAACTGAGATTAATTATATGCCAGATGACTTGTATGGAAGATTTTCATTGGTTTTCAAACTCATGACAAAATCTATGGCAAGTCTCAGTTGTTCGGAGATGAGAGCCGCCGGTCATGGGGTTGAAGCTCAGTTCCAGCTTCCTGTACTGGTGGATCACTTCATGCAGAGATCTCACCCGACTGATCAGCTCTTTAATCGAAACGCTTTCCAGAGTTTCATTTTCCCCTCAGCCCAAGATGGTAGGCATTATTTCTTAATATGTACAGCATTTTTCTATATTACTTGTTTTTGCCTCTAGAAAAAGCATTAAGCTGGAAGGCTCTCTTTGGGTTGCGAATTCATCTTGACGTTTTCTTATCCTTGTTATTCTTTTGTCGGAATAGCCTCAGTGAGAAGTTTTTAACAACAGGTCCTTGGATCAATGAAATGCTGGTATAGGATCTACGAAGCCCTTGATGAGAAAACGGAAGAATGCAAACCTCTGCCTCCTTCCAAGAGATTACGGCTCGAGGCACAAAGAGTGCATAAGGAAAGGGTTCAGAAGATTGCGGATAAGAAGGGCATCGAACTACGGTTTTGTAGCCTCAAAAGAGTGAGAATCACATTCATGCACTCCATATCCCTTGTGCCAATATTAGAATGGAAATCGGATGGCCTCATGGAGTGCCGTTTGTTCATCCTCACGATCTACCCAACAAGGCAAAGATTGGTTTTCTCGAAGCGTACGAACCGGGTTGCACATCAACTCACGATATGGAATTAAGCCTAACGGAGCCCGGACAGGCCAGTCAACAGTCGGCTACTGTAACTGCACGTCTCGTTTATGTTTCATTGCTCTTTCACAAGCATTCATCAAACTGCAAATTAGTTTTCATGTTCGTTTCATCACCTTGATGCTAACACCATGAAAAGTTTGCTGCATTTATCCCTGTGTAATTTTTGGCTGCACTGATTAGTGTAAATTGGTTTTACATCGACATGATTGCATGCTTACGAGCATTGGATGTTCATCGACATGATTTCCATATATTTGGAGGGTTCCTGGAGGACATATCCTCGTATCTACACGACATGCGTAGTTTCGAATGTCCGTTATCCTCGATTAGGCCGTTCCCGGTCGGTTTGCGAGATCTCTACCTGGTGGTTTCCCGTTCTTCTCAATCCAGGACAAGAGCTGCATCAACCAGCATAAGCAGTTTTGTCGAAACCGAATTGGATTTCATCGGTGAAGTATGAACCAGAACACAAGTCAACATACATGTATGTAAACGAATTTGAGATTGAAAGTGAGAAACCAAAACATTTCAGTCTAAATTCACGAGTTTTGGGATATTTTCTGGTTAAACAACCACCAGATTAAGACTCAGAGGGTCGAGACGAACCGAAGCATCCCCTTTTGGGACCGAACGACAACAATCTGTGGCAGTCGACGGTGACCAAAATAAAAACGACATGGTGACCGACGGAGAGAAAATGGAAAATAGAAGAAAATATGATAAATTACACCATGAGTCATTAAACTTTACTCTCTCATATTTTACTCACCAAAACTACATCATTTTAGAGTATATTTGAGTTTATCAAAATGACATCGTTTTGGTTTCTGTGTCATGCCATAACGCCGTTAAAAAAGTTAACAGCAGAGTGCGCAAAATGATTCAATATGTAAAATTCAGTGAGCAAAATAAAAAATTAAAAGTTGGATGAAAAAAATAGAAGAGAGTATAATTTAGTGAAAAATTATGTAATTTACCATAAAGGAAAAACTACTCTTCAAATCAATTAATTATGGATTTAATAACAAATAATTCCTTTTTTTTTTCTTTCTAAAAGTTACAAATATGTCACTTATCATCTTACCGTTTTGTCTATATCATTTGGTCTAAAAGGTTGATCAAATATCAGTATTAAAATAATATCATTTTTTATATATCATCATATCGCGTAGATTTAAATAATCTCATAACACTGAAGTTGAAATTAAAATTTAATACTATAATTAATAAAATTAAAAGTTAAATATTATAAACGATCCTTTACCTAAATTTCAGTATATCTAGTGTAGTTTACAAATAAAATAAAATTAAAAAAATCCCCAAAAATAAAAGAAAAGAAAATTAAAAGAAGCTGTTTTTCCTTCTCCATCTTTCTCTCTGTTTTCCGTTTTCTTTGATCATCCATTTCAGACTTTCAGTTCCTCCAAAACCCTAATTCATTTAATCTTTTTAGATATTTTAATTTCAAATAAGGAAACCAATCTGCATTCTCGCTTTATTTCCATTCTAGACATTTTTTGGGGGTTCAAAATCCTATCTATTAAGACTATTATTAGGCATCCATTTTTTCTAAAAGTCCTGAACTTTTTTTTACTCATTAAAAAGGAGAAACAAAAAGAGCATAAATTTGCATAATCAAATTCCCATTTTCATTTGATCATTTGGGTTTTCTGTTTTTCTAAAATGGCTGTTTTTTCAGGGAAGAAACAACGACCGGGGAAAAAGAAAGCTTAATGGTAAAGCTTTTCAAGCTCAGAGAGACGATACCATTAGGAGAACGGTATATGTTTCTGATATTGATCAGAGTGTAAGCGTAAACAATGGCATCTTTTTGTGATATTTTTACTGTTTCATTGCGATTTTGTGAATCACTTGCGGAAATCTTTTCTTTGTTCTAGACCACTGAAGAACAACTTGCTGGGTTATTTAGTAATTGTGGACAAGTAAGTTCAAATTGCTGGCTTTAAAAAGCTTTTGTCGTAATTTCGTTCGTCCCTGGCTAACACTGCATTTTGATGTAGAGTAATTGATATTAATGTTCGAGCTATATCATTGCATCTTTAGAGCTTTGTGTGTGTGCATAATATATGCATAAGGACTCCAAATTCACATTTTTTTTAATTTCCTTCTTCGTTTTGAGTGTTTAGAATCTCGTTTCTCCTAGAGATAAAATCGGATGTTGGGGCTTTGGTTAATACTACTGGATAGGATTGATTCTTAACTTGATAGCTTATGTGACAGATTACTGTATATATGATATTTCTGAAGTTGTTTGGGAATTATTGTTGAAGGTTGTTGATTGCCGAGTTTGTGGTGATCCGAATTCGGTTCTCTGTTTTGCATTTGTGGAATTTGCAGATGAAGGTAAGCAACTGATAAGGAATTAACTTAAATCTTTTCTTTCATTGATGTGTGCATTTAATTAACATGTTACATTCTTTATAAACTTTCTTTTAACAGAAGGCGCGAGAGTTGCTCTGAATCTTGATGGTACGATGCTCGGGTTTTATCCAGTTAAGGTCTTTCCTGTTGAAAGTATTAAAATGATTTTCAAGTTTGGTAACCAACTTTGAAAAAATGGTTTTCAAAGTTTGGTAAATGTTTATTTGAAAAATAGTTTTTCAAAGTTTGGTAGATGTTTGTTGAAAAATGATAATGGGATAATCACAATTAATCCCTAAGCTTTAGGGTATTTACAAGATTAAGTCCTTAAGTTTCAACTATAAATACCCTAGCTCATTTAGCTTCAAAACCATCCCAAAAATCATTTCTTTCTCCCAATACTAGAGAGCTTTCTTGTGAGTAGTGAGTGTTTTGTAAACACCTGTAAATTTTCTCTCTTAGTAAAAGATCTGCAGCAGTCCGGAGACGTAAGCACAATTGGTTGAACTCCCGTTATCAATTTCGGGTATTATTTTTCCGTTTTTATTTCGCATTCTCACTAATCTGGTTATAGGGAAATTACTTATACTTGGTTTATTTCCAAACAACTGGTATCAGAGCTTTTGGGTTGTGAATTTTGTCAATTTTTTGCGATGTTACTATTTGGGTTACTATTCATGTGAATAGTGAATTTCGTGAATAGTGAAATTCGGTCGGCGATACGAGTTTGTCGACGGAGGTGTTCTAATACACGACGGTTCGTAAAAATTGTCAGAAACGATCCAAACGAAGCCAGATTCGAGTGGGAGCGATGGCTGCAGACGAAGGGAATGTGAAAATTGAAAAGTTCGATGGTGCGGACTTTGGATTTTGGAAGATGCAAATTGAAGATTTTCTATACCAGAAAAATCTATATCAACCCCTCTCAGGAAAACAACCAGAGGACATGAAGAATGAAGACTGGGTTCTTCTCGACAGACAAGCCCTCGGAGTTATCCGACTGACGTTATCCCGCAATGTTGCTTTCAACATAGCAAAGGAAAAGACCACGGCGGGTCTTATGACGGCTCTCTCCAGTATGTATGAGAAGCCATCGGCCTCAAACAAAGTTCATTTGATGAGGCGATTATTCAATTTGCGGATGACGGAAGGGGCATCGGTGACACAACCCTAAATGAACTCAACACAATCACAACCCAATTGAGTTCAGTGGAAATTGAATTTGATGATGAAGTTCGAGCTTTAATTCTCTTATCATCTTTACCAGACAATTGGAATGCTACTGTTACAGCAGTCAGCAGTTCGTCGGGAAACAGTAAATTAAAATTCGACGATGTTCGGGATCTGGTACTGAGCGAAGAAATTCGACGGAGAGAATCGGGTGAAGCATCAACCTCCTCAGCCTTGCACACGGAGTCCAGAGGGAGAACTTCAGAAAGAAATTCAAATCGTGGCAGATCGAAATCCAGAAGGAGAAAATCAAGAAAAGGAAATAAAGATTTTACCTGTTATAATTGCGGCAAAAAGGGCCACTTCAAAAGAGATTGTCGAGCACTGAAGAAAAATACCGGCGCACAGGAATCTGCCAACATGACGGAGAAGACAGGTGATGCCATGATTTTAAGCGTCAACAGTCCGATTGAATTATGGATTTTGGATTCAGGGGCATCTTTCCACTCCACGCCATGCCAAGAAATCATGGAGAACTATGTCAGTGGTGATTTTGGGAAGGTTCATCTTGCTGATGATGAAACCTTGAAGATCGTCGGAAAAGGAGACATCCGACTAAAGCTGTCAAACCAGACCACCTGGAAGCTGACAGGAGTGAGACATATTCCTGGTCTCAAAAGAAATTTAATTTCTGTAGGACAGCTTGATGGAGAAGGATACAGTACAACCTTTTCAGGTTGTGAATGGAAGATTACCAAAAGAGCACTCGTCATTGCTCGTGGTAAGAAGACTGGTACTCTCTATGTAACCTCAAATTTAGAGAATATCATTGTAGTAGCAAATGCTGATGGAAAATCAAACCTATGGCACCAAAGGCTTGGCCATATGAGCGAGAAAGGGATGAAGACACTTTTGTCAAAGGGGAAGCTGCCGGATCTAAATAATGTAGATGTCGGACTATGCGAGGATTGCATCTTTGGTAAACAAAAGAAAGTCAGCTTTGCAAAGATTGGTAAGACACCCAAGGCTGAAAAGTTAGAGTTAGTTCATACTGATGTATGGGGATCATCTCCAGTTCCATCTCTTGCAGGCTCATTATATTATGTCACCTTCATCGATGATTCTACAAGGAAGGTGTAGGTTTATTTTCTGAAGAAAAAATCAGAAGTCTTTGATACCTTCAGAAAATGGAAGGCCATGGTGGAAAATGAGAATGGTATGAAAGTCAAACGGTTGAGGTCTGACAATAGAGGAGAGTACAGAAATAGGAGATTCAGAGATTTTTGCGCAAACAATGGGATCAAGATGGAGACAACAGTTCCCATGACACCGCAGCAGAATGACGTAGTAGAGCGCATGAACAGAACTCTGAATGAACGTGCCAGAAGCATGAGGATACATGCCAGATTGCCCAAATTTCTATGGGCTGAAACTATTAACACTGCAGCTTACCTGATCAACCGTGGGCCCTCAGTTCCTTTGGATGGCAGAATACCAGAGGAAGTTTGGAGCAAGAAAGAAATAAACCTTTCACACTTAAGAGTGTTTGGTTGTATTTCTTATGTACACATAGACTCTGATGAAAGAAGTAAACTTGATGCTAAGTCCAACAAATGTGCCTTTGTTGGTTACGGCGGTGATGAGTTCGGTTACCGGTTTTGGGACTACGAAAATTGGAAGATCATTAGAAGCAGAGATATCATTTTCAATGAAAATGTGATGTACAAAGACAGGTCAACCGCAGAATCAAGTAATACCGAAGCTGAAACAAAGGAATTTGCTGAGTTCGAGGAGATTTCTGGAAATGATGTTCAGATCAGTCCAGAAGCAGTTCAAGAGGAAGAACCATGCACACCAGAACTGAGACGCTCCTCCAGAATTCCTAAACCAACCCAACGGTATTCTCCTTCTTTGCACTACTTATTGCTGACTGACAATGGTGAACCAGAGTGCTATGATGAAGCAATGCAAGTGGAGGATTCAGTCAAGTGGGAGTCTTCCATGAAAGATAAGATGGACTCGCTTATGTCAAATCAGACATGGGAATTAGCTGAATTACCACCAGGCAAGAAGGTGCTCCAAAACAAGTGGATTTACAGGATCAAAGAAGAGCACGATGGGAGCAAACGCTATAAAGCAAGATTGGTTGTCAAAGGTTTTCAACAAAAAGAAGGTATTGATTGCAATGAAATTTTCTCTCCAGTCGTGAAGCTATCTACAATCAGACTGGTGTTGAAAATTGTAGCTGCAGAGAATTTACATCTTGAGCAGTTAGATTTAAAGATAGCTTTCCTTCATGGTGATTTAGAGGAAGAAATCTATATGAGGCAGCCAGAAGGCTTCATAGAGGTAGGCAAGAAAAACCTGGTATGCAGGTTGAAGAAGAGCTTGTATGGTTTAAAACAAGCTCCTAGACAGTGGTACAAGAAGTTCGATAGTTTCATGAGTAGCAGTGGTTTTACCAGATGCCAAGCAGATCATTGTTGCTACATCAAGAGGTTCGATAATAGCTTCATTATTTTATTGTTGTACGTTGATGACATGCTCGTTGCAGGCTCAGACATGCAAGAGATTATAAACTTGAAGCAAAAATTGCCAAAGCAGTTTTCTATGAAGGATCTAGGCGCTGCAAAGCAGATTCTTGGGATGAGGATCAAGAGAGACACAAAGTCGGGGACTTTGATATTATCACAGGCTGAGTACATCAATAAAGTACTCTCCAGGTTCAACATGCAAGATGCTAAACCAGTAAGTACACCTTTAGGTGTTCATTTCAGACTCTCCAAAGAACAGTCACCAAAGACGGAGGAAGAACGCGCACACATGGTGAAGGTGTCATATGCCTCAGCAATTGGAAGTCTGATGTATGCCATGGTTTGTACCAGACCAGATATTGCTCAAGCAGTGGGAGCTGTTAGCAGGCACATGAATAATCCGGGCAAGGTACACTGGGAAGCAGTCAAATGGATCCTCAGATATCTGCGGGGTACCACAAACAAAACACTTTGTTTCAAAGGTGGAGATACGATACTGACAGGCTATGTAGATGCTGACTTAGCCAGAAATGTTGACATCAGAAGGAGCACTACAGGGTATGTCTATACTCTAGGAGGAACCGCAGTGAGTTGGGTTTCTCAACTACAGAAGATAGTTGCTCTCTCCACAACTGAAGCAGAATATGTCGATGTTACGGAAGCCAGTAAGGAGATGGTTTGGCTCCAAAGTTTCTTAGAAGAGTTAGGCAAGAAACAAGAAAACAATGTCTTGTATTGCGACAGTCAAAGTGCTATACATCTAGCAAATAATCCGTCTTTTCATTCCAGGACAAAGCACATACAATTGCGATATCATTTTATCCGGTCTCTTCTGGAAGATGAGATTTTGAAACTTGAAAAGATTAGTGGAGCTCAAAATCCGGCAGATATGTTGACAAAGACTGTGACTACAGACAAACTGAAGTTGTGTTCAACTTCAGTTGGCATGCTAGAGTAACAAGACTAGAAAAGCTATTGCATTGATCGAGGTGTGAAGACATATTAAAATCAGTCTTCAAGTGGGAGATTGTTGAAAGTATTAAAATGATTTTCAAGTTTGGTAACCAACTTTGAAAAAATGGTTTTCAAAGTTTGGTAAATGTTTCTTTGAAAAATAGTTTTTCAAAGTTTGGTAGATGTTTGTTGAAAAATGACAATGGGATAATCACAATTAATCCCTAGGCTTTAGGGTATTTACAAGATTAAGTCCTTAAGTTTCAACTATAAATACCCTAGCTCATTTAGCTTCAAAACCATCTCAAAAATCATTTCTTTCTCCCAATACTAGAGAGCTTTCTTGTGAGTAGTGAGTGTTTTGTAAACACCTGTAAATTTTCTCTCTTAGTAAAAGATCTGCAGCAGTCCGGAGACGTAAACACAATTGGCTGAACTCTGTTATCAATTTCGGGTATTATTTTTCCGTTTTTATTTCGCATTCTCACTAATCTGGTTATAGGGAAATTACTTATACTTGGTTTATTTCCCAACATTGCCTTCAAAAACTGCCATCCTGCCTGTGAACCCTACATTTCTCCCTAAGGTATGGATGAATAACTTTCTGGCTCTTAGTTGTTTCGGTTTTGCATAAGGCTTCATTTGACTCTATGTCATTTTTTCGTGTTACGGAAAGCTCTTGTAGTTTCTCTTTATATTTTACTTTCGAGCCTCACTCTTGGTAATCATATTCACTACAATTGCAGTCCGAAGACGAAAGGGAAATGTGTGCCAGAACAGTTTATTGTACAAATATTGACAAGGAGGTAACCCCTTAATTGTTCACATGAATATTCGAGTTCTTGTCTTTTATCCTAAGTTACTCCAACAACTCTTCGTTTTTCTTGAGGCACCCGTGTCTGACAGATATCCGGACATGGGTGTGGCTATATGACCCTCGAAGATCTCTCAAATATATGGTAAAAGAACTTAGAAAATATGAACAAACTTGTGTCCCAAAATCTCTCTCGGGTCCGAGTTTTTAGCTTTATCACCGCTGTAATTGATGTAACTTAGTTGATCTAATCCTCACAAGCATTTTCTCTTTGATGGAAGGTTTCTCAAGCTGAAGTGAAGAATTTCTTTGAATCCGCGTGCGGTGAGGTTAGTTCGATATCAATATCAGCCATGCCTTTTTTCTAACTGGTTTCCGAAAGAAGGTTAATGCGATTTTCTTTTAATTCTCAGGTCACTCGCTTGAGGATTTTAGGGGACAATGTGCATTCAACTCGTAATTCTTTTGTTGAATTTGCCATGGTAAAGTTCGTGTTTCCTGGACTGATGTTGAAATTATTCGGTTCAAATTACGATTCTTTGAAAACTAGTTTCCGCCATGGGTTCTAATTAGTATATAATTTTTTTCATGTTATTGAACATTATTTGTAACATGTCATCGGTGTCTGTTTGCGAACTATTACTGCAAATCAAGACGCATTAAGTTAGGTGATATGTTTGACTAAAACCAAGTGGCTCGATTTTAGCGAGTGTATTGTGTGAGATTATTGTGAAAACCGGCCCGGTTTACTTGTAAGCGAGGTTGCAGCCCGACAAACGGTTTAAAACGAGGTCATATTCTTTGTAATTTAGCTTTCCATGTCTGATCTACACCCAACTTTTGACGTATGTAACTGCAAGACACTCGATGACAGGTTTTCTTCGATTATCGTTATTCTAAAACCTCTTCGATTTTTCACAGATCAGCTAAATGCAGGAGTTTCTAACCTTAGTTTTCTTTTCATTCTATACTCATTCTGTCATTTACGGAATCCTACGAGATCAGGTTGCATGATCAGACTGTTTTTTTGTTTATCTCAGAGTTCTTTTCCGACACTACGGCTTTTTTTCCCGATATGGCATGTTACTTCATATACTTTTATGTTATATCGGTCATACATGCACGTGTGTGCACCGAATCAATCATCATCCGGAGTTGTTTTTGCATGCACATAAACTTGATGAATTAAATCGGCTGTTTTTGGACAGGCGGAAAGTGCCATTGTTGCATTGAGTTGTAGTGGACTGGTGTTAGGAACTCAGCCGATCAGGTGTGTTCTCGAATTTTCGTTCTAAATCCTATGCTTGTCGAGCTTGTCATCGATTAAGTTTAATCATGTTTCGTTCTTAACATTCAGGGCAAGTCCTTCAAAGACACCGGTGAGGCCACAGTTACCCGACCAACATCGGGTTAACCAATCGACCTAGCCTTTTAAGACCTATGGATGGAATTGGTTGACTTCCCGATGGCGAGAGAAACTCTGTTGCGTCGAAGGAATAGTAAAAACTTCCCTCGGTTACGTTCTTTCCGTCTTTTCCGACGCAACATTTTGTTCCGTTTTTCTTTTATCTTTGCTCGAAGATATCGGCACCATGTTTCGGATTCAGAAACCTTGAGAACTTTTTAACCTTGTTCCGTCCCTTTGTTTTGACAATGCTTCTTGGTGGATTTCTTTGCTACCATTTAGTTTTCTTCCATATGAGTTCGAATCTCGATATTTGTAATTGTCCGATAATTAAATTCGAGTATGGAGATTTGACTTCTAATGATAGAAAAGCTTGAAAAATAATTGAAAATATTATCAAATTATAATATGTAGTTTGAAATATGTATTATTATATTTTAGGGTAAACTACATGTTTAGTATCTAAATTTTTACTTTTATTCTGTTTTGCTATTTAAACTTTTTTTTCTTTCAAAATCATATTTAATGTTTAGTTTAAGTTTCAATTTGGCACCCTTCGTTAAAAACTTAACAGTGATGTTGACGTGTCATCATAAAATGTCATATTATCATTGAAAAAATTTAAAAATGCCACTTAAATAGTTCTGTTAATTTTTTTTTACAATTAGTATTGAAAACTAAATTCAACGTTAGATATGATTTTGATAAAAATAAAGTTTAAGTATCAAAATAGAACAAAAGGACTAGTTTTTGTAATTTACCCTATATTTTATGATAAAGCTTTATTAATTAGTTTTATATTAAAATACGATATCAATCCTCATAATCTGGCTAAGTTTGAGGTTCAACTTTTGTACTTCAATAGTTTAATTTAATCTTAAATTTAATAAAATAGAATTTATAATTTTGTGGATTCTTCAAAAACTATAATTTTAATATAAATATAGATTTCTAATTCTATCACAAATCCTCATTTCCCTCATCACATTCTTTAATAGTATAATTTCTCTTTAGTCCTTTCTAAAATTGTACATTATAGTTCAGTCAATGGTAAAATTACACTCTTAACCTTTTGGAAATCAATAATTCAATTTCAATCCTCACATGATAAGAAGCTATGTGCCTTGGAACCGATCGTGGCGGTGGTAGGAGGAATACCCTGTTGGTGTTTGAAAACGTTGTTCGGATCGATCAATGTCTTAGCTTTCACCAATATGTTGTAATTATTCAAAAAATAATTTTCACCCCAAACCCGAGCAACCTCGACCGCATCCAAAGATGGTACATTAGTGTCAATCAATTCCATGACACCAAGGTCCAAGTCAATGTAGTTGACATAAGCAGCCCTCGGACCACATGAAACGTGGTCCGACATTGCTTCATGGAATCCTCGTATCCATTCTATGTATTCGTTGCTTCTGTTTTTATCTTCATGGTGCCACTCGACGAGGTATTGGATCGTATACAAATTGCCTCGCCTATGCTGAAAGGAGATCGAGTCGCTGCTTATGTTGCGCATCGTGGCACCGTAAGGGTCCATGATGATGTACCCTGTTGGTTCATCCTCGAGAATGCCGAGGGTTGTTCTTATGCCGGTGGCGGAGATCAGATTCCTTACATGGTCCGACTTGGCCTTGAAGTAATGCTTGTCTTGGAAATACCTAGTCTTGATGTCTGAGATTGTGGCTCCGTTAGGTAGTCCGGAGAAGAATAGGACCGATTCGATCCAACTCATTTCATTGTAATTTTTTGATGTGATTCCTAATTCGGGAATTCACGGCGGAGGATCGAGATGGCTTCTTGTTTTCGACCTAGGAAGAAGCCTTTGAATGTTGCTGATATACCACTGGATTTAGTCTCCGGTAATGCGGCTCTGACAAAGCATGATAAATATAGTTCCCCTTGTAAGTTGGGAGCAACGTGCTGCCACTTGTTCACTAAATCCTCTATGTGCACCTTCATGCCAGGTCTCGACACGACGAAACTCATGATGGTCTTCGGTACTTTCAGTAACCGAAGGTGAGACCCTATATCAATTAAAGACGGGATTGATCAATCTCCTTTCCACTTAAAATGGTCATTCTAGTGAGATTACACATAAGCATCTCACTGAATTTCATATGGTCTGCATTAGTATGATGCCTCAGGGAGTTTCCGAGGACCAAATCAAACTACGAGCGTTTCCCTTTTCCTTAGCCGGAACGCCTAAGCTTATTTGGAATTGGGCTGAGTTAAGCCCAAAAGTAGTGAATGGTGATGAAAATTTTATGAATTGGAAAGTAAAAGGACTTAAAGTGTAGATTACCCATCCTTGTTTTGAAAGCTAAAAAGTCCTTAGTTTTATATTGGTTACGCGAACCAACTACCCCTAAAAATCTCACCAAACTATCGTTCTTCTTCCTCCCATTTTATTATCTTCCTATTCCTTTCCAAAAGAAAGATAGTAAGCAATCCAAGTCTAGTTTGATTTAACTAAGTTAATATTTTTAATCCTCATCCTCCTAGCTTTAATTTAAGCTCCACATTGCAAATTTTAACATTGGAAACCAAAAATGGGTTTTGGCAGGTTTAAGGGGAAATTTTGGATTTTAAGAAGTTGTTGATAGATTCAAGTCTAGGAGTGTTTCCACCCTTATTTCCATCACTTAGTTCACTTAGAATTTCCTATTTCTTATTCTTGATTATCTAAAAAAGTGGGTGAAAGCTCAAAGGACAATAGGAAAGAAAAAGCTTTCATTAAGTGAGTTGAGCTTGAGCTTGCATTGAGCTAAGAATTTGAGGTAACCACACTTACAACTTCTTTATACTAGTTAGTGGGTCATTAGAAGAAATGAATATCATGAAAGTTATGAAATAAGCTTGATGATCATGTTCATGGTAGATTCTATGATTTATGTTTTTAATATGTTTTAAAGCCTTATTTATGACCCATATTGATCACATAAGACATTAAGAACAATAGGGAACCTCATTATAGTAATGTGGGTAAGTTTTAGAGTAACTTTTGAGCCTAAGTAAGGTTTTTTTTTTATTCGGGGTATCAGTACTGTAAGAACAATACCGATATTGTTTTTCAGGAAGTGTAAAATGGGCTTTGTTTTAATAGGAGTATTGGTACTCCTTTGATACTGGGGAATTTTTGAAAACATCGAAGCTAAATTTGGTATCGATACTTATGGAAGTATTGATACCTAAGGGTAAAAGTATCGATACCCCCTATAGGAGTATCGATACTGAGATTTTTTTCAAAACATCAAAGCCAAATATGGTATCGATACCCTACATAGTATCGATAGCTTGGAAGTATCGATACTAGACGGTGAGTATCGATCTAACCCATTCCAAAACATGGGAAAATGAAGTTTCAATACTTAAAGCAAATTATCCATACTAAAGGGCCAGTATCAGCACCATCATACATTTTAAGTTAAGGAATTTCAGGGGTTTGTAATAGGATAATGAGGTTCCCAAGAACACTATAATTACTCTCAAATAAGACTACAAGTGGGAACAATAATAATGTTTAAGTCAAACGTAGAAACAAATAAAAATAGGGTGGCACAATACTAGCATTGGTTGATGCTCGGGAAATAATTCGGACACCTGAGTTCCTTTAGTTCGGGGTTTTAAAGTATAGAATAAATCCAAATATCCTTAGGTAGGGTGCAAGACCCTTAAAACTTACTAGCTAGGACGCAAGGTCAGACACTCGCAAGGGGTGGGCTAGTTAGGGGTGTGGTGTCCGATGCAGAGATTCCGAGGGCCTCATCCTCAGTAGACTGGAGGGGTGCATGAACTCAGAGATGAAATCCCTCAGTCGCACCATGATGTTTACCATAGCTTAGAGAGTGAGAATCGTAAGGATACTCACTAATGTTTGAATTGGATAGATTCATAGTATTTTTACTAGTTGTTAAGCATGTTTTAATAAACCTCTGTTAGTATGATTTAGTTGTTAGTGTGACACTGGGCTAGTTAGTTCAACCTTTGGAATTTGTTTTCTTACGCACTTGAAGAACTTTTGTGCAGAGTAGATCCAGAGAAGAATATGTCTCGAGTCCTTTAGTGGACATGTATATTTGAAATTTCTATTTTGTATACTAGAGTCATGATTGGATTTGGATGATGGTCTGTTTATTTTGTTATTATGTATATTGTTTTGTATAAATGATATTATAGTTTCTTTTATTTTTATCATTGACTTTCTTATATAAATGATCGTTTTAAATTGGGAATAATGAGAAAAAAATTGGTTAGCCACTTCGGTGGTCCCGTGTGACACTCTTATCGGTTGACTGTGTGTCGTACTGGTGTGGGGTGTTACATTTAGTGGTATCCTTAGTTAGTGGGCATGTATATTTGTAGATCCCGTTTTGTATATTCGAGTCGTAACTTATTTTAAATGATGGTTTGTATATTTTGAATCATATCTTTTGGGAGATCTGGTTGTAATTTATTTCTAAAATGATGGTTGTTATGTTTGCTAAAAGTACTTTAAATTAGTCGTTTTTAAAGCAAAGATTTTAAAAAAATTTGGTTAGCCACTTTTGTGGTTCCATGTGGCATTCTAATTAGTCGATTTTGTGTCGTACTGGTTTAGAGTGTTATAGAAGACAAAATACAAACTGTAATTTAAATTCCTTATTAGGGGATATAATTTTTTTATTAGCCCGAGGGTCACCAAAATCTCATAAACGGATTGCATGTGATATCATGTATTTATACGCTTCTTGATCTCTACGTCTATAATGAATTATTGTTCTTCTAGCTTGTAAAAAAAGACAAAGTCAATCCACGTTAAATCACATCGCTTACATATGTCTTGTTTTACTTTTCCCAAGTTTCTAAGTGCATGCAACCATGAAAAAAAAATCATAGTTGAGGATGATTGATCTAATATAATTTAGTTTTATATTTTACAAAGCTAATAAACTAAATTAATTTAAACATTTAATATTATGATGATTGATTTGTAATATATTTTATATTTAGTTTATTTATTTATTTTTACATTTTTTCAAGCTAAACCTTTCATTTCAAATATTAAAAAGCAATATATACTTGTTTTCATTTGAATATGACTCGCTTTTCACGGCAATGACTTGATAAGAGAGCGTTTTTTCCACGGTATGCGAAGACTCTTGGCGTGGACTTGGGTAGAATTTTCTATAATAATATACAATTAACATATATTTTTGGCTTTCCTTTTGTACCCAATAATTCTGCGTATTTATTTCTCCAGTTGTGACAGTCTGTTGATTGATGGATATGTTTGATACCAATGCTCAATCAAAATTAAGTCTTTTTGCTCAACTCTATTCTAAAAGTCTTCTAAGTCTTTGTTTCCATTCATTCCCTAATTTCCTCGAAATCCACTGAAAATTGGATTTAAATACATTTCAATATGCATAATAATAATATTTATAATTAATTTAATGATTTTTCCATGAAAATTGTCATCTTTTGTTATTTATTATGATGAAAAAGAAGTGGAAGGACAGCAGATGCTCATGGCAGGGTGAAGATTTGTTCACTGTCCTGTTTTTGGTTTGATGTTCGGTTTATGAATGGTGTTTCGATTGGATTTGCAGTCATGTTTTTACATACATGCAACTGTGAAAAATGTCATAGTTGGTAATGATTGATCTCTAATATATTTTAGTTTTATATTTTACAGAGTTAATAAACTAAATTAATTTAAACATTTGATATTATGATGATTGATCTATAATTCATTTTATTTTTAAAGTATTGATTTATTTTGAGATACTCTTCAAACTAAAACTATCATTTCAAATATTAAAAAATAATATATGTTGTACGAATTAAACGACCTTGGTGATTAAAGGGATGATTATTATTCTTAGAAGTCTCGGATTCAAACACCAATGACTACCACAGAGTATTTGAGCTTTTATTATAAAAAAAAAACAATATATATTTGCTTTCCTTTTTCTACCGTATGCAAAGACTCTCGACTTGGACTTGGGTAGAATATGCTTTCATTCATTCAGTAAAATTAGTTTCAGTTTCGATTATTTATATTCAAAATCAATTTATGATTTGAGTTAAGATTTTCCTAAAATTAATTTAGAATAATCAAAGTATATGTTAAAAATAAAATTTTGATTAAAACCATAAATGATTCGAATTAGGGTTAGGAAGGTTTTTTTAATGAGGTCATTGAGGTGGTGTACTTTGTTATTCTTAATACAAAGTGCCCTATTTCAACAAAAAAAACCATAAATTATTCGAATTTCATATGAAATTATGTAAATTTAATTCTTGTAATAATTTTAATATTCAAATTACTCCAATGATACGTTGAGAAGGAAGATTTGCAGTACACGGTTTGAATAATTTGCAAAACAAAATATAAATTAAAATGGTAAGTTGCTTACGACAGCAAATAGAAAACAATAGAGAAGAAAAACCATTGAATCGTAAAATATGGGCCCAGACATGAAATGTTGCATTTTAGGCCTTCCATTTTGTGCAGTGTATTGTGGTTGGTACCCCATATTTCTTATCCAATTTATTTAAAGGCACTGATGAATCCGCTCTTTTAGCCTTAAAATCCTATATAACTCATGATCCACATAATCGCATAACCCAGCTGTTTCTCTCTTCATGGTTTACATTATACCCACACCCAACCTTATGGCGAAAACTCCCTTCCTCCCTCTTATGTTTCTGCTGCTATTTGCTACCTTCAGAGTTACTTTGTCTGCCAACATAACCACCGATTAATCCGCCCTTTTAGCCTTAAAATCCCATATAACTCATGATCCACATAATCTCTTAGCAACCAACTGGTCCACTTCTATCTCTGTTTGCAATTGGATTGGTGTCAGTTGTGGATCCAGACACTACAGAGTCGCTGCTCTGAATTTGTCAAATATGGATCTCACGGGCACCATCCCATCTCAATTAGGAAATTTATCTTTCCTTGCCTACCTCAACATTCGTCACAATAGTTTCCATGGCTCTTTACCTACTGAGTTAGCCAATTTGCATCGGCTGAAGTATTTGAACTTTGGCAACAACAGCTTCATTGGAGAAATCCCATCATGGTTTGGTTGTTTTGCTCATCTTCAAAGCTTGTTGTTGTACGGTAACAACTTCACGGGTAACAACTTTATTTTCACTAGTAAAAAGTTTATTTTATAACTAACGTTTTCATTGCAGGCCATCTACTCTCACTTGAACAATTCCAAATTTTTTCTTCATTTTTTTTGTTAACTATATTCTATATACACTTGGACCATCATCCAATTATCCAATATCAAATTAGGGCAGACTAAATGAATAAGTAATAACCTACATATTGAAATAAGATGTACCGTTAGTCTTCTCTAAATCAATTACCTTACAACTATTTGGAGTTTTCAAAGTAGTAAAATAATTTAATAAAATTTTCATTTTTTAAAAAGATGGAAAATAAATGCAGAACATCAACCTATAGCGCTGAAAAAAAGGACCTAAATTAATTTCCAATGTACTTCCCTTGCATACATAAATTTTAATAATAGCGATTCCTTGGGTAAAAATGTATTTGGATTGAAAAATTTCAAATATTTGCAACTTTCATAAGTTTAAGGGTTTGTTATAAATTAAAAAAAATGGAGAGAACGAACGACTCTTGTGCTCAACATGGAAATTAAGGGTTTGTTAGAAAAACTATTAATAAATTATGATATATTTAATTTTATATTTAAGGTGAATTTCAATTATTTAATAGAAAACCAACTTATCTAGAGAATATTAATCTTTTTTCTAACAACTTAAAAGGCGTAATATCATATTTTTTCAGATTTTATATCTTTATTAGTCTTGAATATATTTTCATCAGTTAAAAGATGTTTTATAACTAACAATCTCACTACAGGCCATTTACAGTCGAGAATATTTGATAACCTATCTAAATTGCAAGAATTAGGTTTGACTGGGAATCAGATTTCTGGTAGCATTCCTAATAGTTTATTCAAGTGCAAAGAGTTACGTATTTATCATTGTGGAACAACTCTATGGAAGGAAGTATACCCATAGAAATCGGAAATTTGACAGTGCTCCAATATTTGATTCTTGCTTACAACAACTTCAATGGTAAACAATTTTTCATTTGCATTTAGTTCTCCTTGATTTCGTTAGTTGTGTTATGCCTAATTTTAATAAACCAGTTAAAAATAACAACCTCAAATTAGGTTTGACGTCAAACCTAATTTTAATATTCAAATTCAATTTTGGTAATAACTCAATATCCATTTTTTGAAGTATAACTTTAAACAATATCATCAAGCTATCATTTGATGTTAACCCAATTTAAAGAAGAAGAAAAAATGTTGTGATTAATTATAAAAACATTTTTATTAAATTGGGTGTAGACGATATGAAATAATTGATTAAAGTTTAGACTGATACAAATCTTCTAAATTTGATCATAGTTTAAGGCTGTTATTTCCATTGTGTCAATTGAAGTTTTATTATTTATTTTGCAGGTTCTATTCCTTCGTCAATCTTCAACATTTCCTCTTTGCTATATATTTCTCTGGGATTCACCAATCTCTTTGGTTCTCTATCCTCCAATACGTTCGATTATCTTCCTCAATTACAACATCTTGATTTACGTGCGTGTCAACTTTATGAAAGAATTCCATTGAGTTTATTCAAATGCAAAGAGTTGGAATATATACATTTGGGTACAAATCATTTGGAGGGAATCATACCATTATAAATCTCAAATTTAACTTCACTTAAAGTTTTCATCATCGGCGACAACAACTTTTCAGGTAAGTTAAAAGACTCATCGTACGTGCTTTAATAATGTTCTTAAATATAAAAGAGTTCTTTATCATTGAATTTTTTTAATTATATTGTCCTAATTTATTTTAGCTTTTCAATTTATTTTATTAACATAGTTATATTCTTGGTTCTTAAAAAAAAAGTACAACTTTTAACTATTTGAGTAGTCCAAACTTCTGCAACGTATATAAAATGTCTTCAATCGATGAAAATGATAAAACGCATTCATGTCTTGCAATTGGATGTGGAGATCAATAAACCAATTGTACGTATTCCATAAGTCATATTCTTTAATATGAGACAAATAGAGTATGTAAGTTCTAGTTCTAGTTACGGAACAAATAAAATTACCTAAATTCTAAAAATTAAGCATAAAGATACTCAATCACACTGCTATACTCATCAAGACATAATATAAGTATTTTGTCAAATTATTTTTGATTAATTTAGTTATATATTTCAGGTACAATTCCATCGGTTATTGGAAATATAACTTCTTTAGAGTTCATTAGTTTTGTGGGTAACAACTTGACAGGTATAATACAACTTTCATTCCTCTTTTTGTTGTTATTTTTTTCTTGAACTTTTATTGTTATTTTGTTATATATTTATTAATTAATTATAAGATTTTTTTGTCATTGGATGTGTCTTTTGGTATTCAAACATAAATAATTTAAATATTAGACTCAGATAATCCATTCTAAAATGATTTCAATTTAAAATATATTTTTTTCAATTCGATATGAACTAAACCAATTTTCCTTGTTTTGTTTTCTAATTGTAAGTTGAAAATATTGTTGGGTTAGGATACATGAATAGAAATGTATCAAAATCCTTTTCAATATCAACTTTTTCTTTTATTTCGTTGGAAAATTTTCTGTCCAAAATTTGGTAATTTGTGAATGTCATGTAATATAAGTGAATTTTTCAAAAATATATTTCCTAAAATATATTTCCTGATGCAGTAACAAAGATGGTATTTGTTATACATACCCAGCTGTTAGAGAGTGAACTGATTTCCGTTGTCGTCGTTTTGTTTAATGAAAAGAATATCTAAAATCCTTTTAAAACCAATTATATAGTTTACTACAATTTAGGCTCCATAAAAAGATGTTGGTTTCATCTAAGAAATGGCCTGATATTGGCTATCCGCGTCATGCATGTTTCAAAAAATTTCAAACATCTAATTCTAACTCTATTCCATATTTTCTGCAAGGCCGTATTCCTTCCTCATTATGCAATTTAAGTTCCCTTCGTACGCTCTCTTTATGGAACAATAGCTTGGATGGAACAATTCCAGAATGCATTGGAAATTTGAGTTCTCTTTTGGTGCTTGACATAAGGATGAATAATTTTCATGGTAAAATACCTGAAAATTTTGTTGAAGGTTGCTCGATACTCAGTTTTCGAATCAACAACAACCAAGTAGAAGGGTCGTTACCACGATCTTTGGGTAATTGTAAAGACTTGAAACTTCTCGATGTTGGAAACAACTATTTGAGTGACACTTTCCCAAACTGGTTAGGAAATTTGGACCAGCTGCAAGTGCTTGACTTGAGATCAAATAGATTCTATGGTAAGGTGGATAGCTCTGATGTTACCTTCACTCGTTTGCGTGTCATTGATGTTTCTCGTAATAACTTCAGTGGCTATCTACCTATGAACTTTTTTGGAAATTTACATGCCATTAGAGAAGTGAATGAAAAGAAAGTTGGACCAGAGTACATGAAAGATATAGTAGCAGGTACAGTAGAGTATATTGTGAGAGGTTTGTCTTTTACAACAAAAGGGTTGGAATTAAAGTTTGAGAAACTATCAACCATATGGACAATTATTGACTTCTCCAGCAACCAATTCATGGGAGAAATTCCTAAAATAATTGGTGAGCTTCATTCACTAATTGTCCTAAACCTCTCTCATAACTGTTTAACAGGTTCTATCCCGTCATCATTGGGTGATTTATCGGAGCTTGAATCATTAGATCTATCATCAAACAAGCTCCATGGAAGAATTCCAACAGAGTTTAAAAATCTTGGATTCTTGGAGGTGTTAAACCTTTCCCATAATAATCTAGAGGGACCCATTCCTCAAGGCAAACAGTTTGATACTTTCCCTAATGATTCCTATATAGGAAACCTCGGCTTATGCGGGCTGCCGTTATCAAAAAGTTGTGATAATGATGAGAAAATTCCGGTCGGATTTGATAGAGAAGATGATGATGATGGATTGAACTGGAAATTTTCTATAATAATGGGGTATGGATGTGGGTTGGTGCTGGGATTGGGCATGGGATATATTGCATTCACAACTGGAAGACCATGGTGGTTCGTGAGGACTTACGAGAGAGTTCGAGAAAGATTTGCAAAAAAGGTAAAAAAGAGAACTCTTTGAGGGATTTTTGTTGTAGAGCAAACAATGGAGAGAGCAGAAAACATTTTTTGTTGCCTCTTTTCTATTTTCATTGCATTTTGGACTTTCCTTTATATTCTACTTGGATGAATCCCTGCATTTTGTGGAGTTTTAAGAAATTTTAGATAAAAAATTGTTTAATTTATTCTTAAATAGTTATGATAGTAAGATAATATATTATATTTTTATTAATTATAAAAATTATTTATAATCTGACTTGAATTTTAAATTGATTCATTCATTAGTTAAATATTGAAATAATTTTATTATTGTTAATGATTCATTCGACCTAAATACGCATTTTGACCCTATAGTAGAATTAAACTCTGACCATAGATACAGAAATCTCAACTCATTTCTCTACTTCTAAGCTATGATTGTTTTAGGGTTAATTACTTCAAATACCATTGGCCTTTAAGCGTGGGCTCGAAAATGTCACTAACGTTTAAATTTTATCAATTTTAGCACTGACTTTTATGTTTAACTTCAATTATGTCACCCCACCGTTAATCCATTAATGGCATGATGACATGACATCTTTGTGCCGTAACGGTGATGATGTGGCTCCCTCATCAAAACGATGTCATTTTGGTACAATTGTTTTGATGTTTGAAAAACCCAAAACGACGTCAATTTATTAGAGGTATTTGATTAAAATTGCTTTTCATGAGGTTTGAACGAAGGATCTCCATGAACCAATGCTAAGCACTCAACCACCAAACTAACTTTAAAACTTATTTTATTTTTAACAAAACTAATATATATGTTAAATAGTGTTTGTATACTTTCATCTTCCTTTTATTTTTAACAAAACTAATATATATGTTAAATAGTGTTTGTATACTTTCATCTTCCTCATCAATCCATATCCATAGACGTTTCAATAATGCTAATCAACTGCTCGACAAAATGTCAAGCTCAAGATTTTCAACAGCCAAGCTCGAGCTTTCCAAGATTTTTTTTAACACTGAAAAAGCATCAAGCTTTATAGATGGCAAAGATCAACGTATAAGATGGCAAACAAAATTTATTCATATTGATCAGAATTGCTTCCGTAGCTACCAGCAGTGCAATAATTGTTATTGCCACCATAACTTCCTTGGCCTCTATAACCACTACCATTGCCACTGCTAATATCCTATTTGAACATGTCTGCACTGCTTGTATTGTTTTTTATTATTTGAAGATAAAAGAGATAGAGAAATCATATGCATATATAAAGAGGAAAGCTTCGGTATCATGTTATGTGAGATGAAAATGGAAAAGACAAGTGCAATAATATAAGTTCGCCCATATAATACGTTAGCTGAAGGGTTCTTTGATCAATATATTTCTTAACAAGAACATCGAGTATCGAATTGAAAATCTTCAAGGAAGATTGGGTGTTCAACCTAGAAGCCAAATCAATAATTTTGAGCTTGGCATTTTGTCAAACAGTTGATTGGCATCACTTAAACATCTATGGTTTTGCAAGAAAGATGAAAGTATACAACTACTATTTAACGTATATATTAGTTTTGTTAAAAACAGAACAAGTTCTTAAGTTAGTTTGGTGGTTGGGTATTTAGCATTGGTTTAAATCTCTAGAGAAACAAATTTTAATCAAATACATCTGATAAAACGACGTCGTTCTGATAAGGGAGTCACATCATCACCGCCTAGATTAATGATAGGGTGATATAAGGGTGGCATAATTAGAGTTAAGTGCTAAATTGACAAAATTGAAACGTGAGTGACATTTTTTAGTCCACACTTAAAAGTCAGTGGTATTTGAAGTAGTTAACCCTTTTTTATTAAAAGAAATTAAATTTATATGCATTTTAATATATATCATAATAATATCTATAATTAATTTATTGTTTTCTAATGAAAATTTTTCTATCTTTTGTTATTTAGTAATATTATGAAATTATGTATTTTATTAATAATTTTAGTTGATTAGCAAATTATGATAAATTTTGTATACCATAAACATCACTTAAATTATTATTTTTGAATTTATCATTGTATCATTTTTTACGGAAAAAATTAATCTGTTAATTATTTAAATATATAAAATATTTTTTGAATTCACCCAACATCTCCACTTATTAATATGCTCTTCTAACCCTAGTATCTCATATAATTCATTATCCACACAATCTCATCAATAAAAGTTAAATAATATATGTTCTAATCAAGTGATGGTATATTCATATGTCATCATCCACACAATCTCATCAATAAAAGTTAAATATTATATGTTTCAATCAAGTGATGGTATATTAGAAGGTCTGGCTATATCAATGTATACAATCTCCTCTGCTCTTCTTTTGACTCAATGCTATGGTAAAGAGACAATTTTATGTCATATCGAATTGAGCAATTAATTTTATCTTTGTTTTTGATGACATGTGAATTATTTTTCATTTTGATTTCATATATTTTTCCTTAAAAGTGGAAAGTAAGGGTCGATCTCACAGAGACTCTGCAGTTTCTGATTCGGTTATCTTCTTGTTTTTATTTCTTTTGGGATTAAAGATGACTTGAATTTTGGGTCAGTAGTTCGGGTTAATGTGGAACTTGTAAGTCGAGCCCATTAGATCTCCCAAGCCAGTTTAAACTAGTCCTTAAGAGTATTGGGCCTAAGTTTGGCCCAAGAGTTAAGACAAATGATGGTTTTAAGTTGGGATAAAAAGGAGAGGGACCAAAAGTGTAATTTACATATAGCTTGTTTTAAATATTAAAAAAACCCAACCCAAGTGTTCTTCACGTGAAACAAAACTCCCAAAAGTATCTCTTCCATTTTCCTATTCTCTTCTCTCTTCTTTTGCAAGCAAAGGAGAAAGCCTTTCCAATTCAAAGCCAAATTAGAGTTAATCAAGTTAAGAGTCTTAACCTTTATCCTTCAAGCTTTATTTTAGGCCCCAAATCTTAGATTTTGGGTAAGATTTGAGAGAATGAGTTTTTGAGAGTTAAAAGAAATAAAGTGTTTTAAGTTATTTTTTTATAGATTTGAGTTATAGGAGTTGTATTTGAGCTTAATGCAACCTCTAATTGAGTATTAATCCATTTCCTTGATTGGTTTAGTTAAAGAGGTAGAAGAAAATTTTAAAGCAAAAGATAAGAAGAAGGTGATTTCTAGTTGATTTGAGAGAAGCTTTAGCAATCAAGGAGGTCAGTTAACACACTCACAACTCTTTCATACCCTTACTGGGTCATTAGAAATGTAAGATACCCAGAAAGTTGAGTATGAGCATGTTAAGTAGATTTTCATGGTAGATTGTATACTTTATGCTTTTAGCATGTATTAAAGCCTTCTTCATGACCCCTAAGATCAAATAATACTTAATAACTAATTGGGAAACCTTTAAATAGGAAACTTAGAGAGTTTAGGGGGTAAATTCGTGCCTAAAACTATATAAACTATGTAAACTATATAATATATATATAGTTTAGTAGTTTACATAAATATATAGTTTAGTAGTTTACATATGAACTGTATATAGTTTGGTTCATGAAATATAAGATTACTTTTCGGAATAAGATTACCGGAATGTTGTATTACTTGACACATTACTGGGAATGTTATATTACTTTTTTCGGTTTGCTTGATATGAATGTACGGGTGAACAAAACTCGACTTGACTCGAAAAACCGATTTTTTACTCTATTCGAAAAAAACTCGACTCAAATTGAGTTCGAATTGTAATTTCATAAACTCAACTTGACTCAAAAAATTTCAAATTCAAATTCGAATAACTCGAAATTTTTAATAATTAGTAGATTGATTTTCAAGTTTAAGTCGAAGTTTGAGTTGAGTCCCTCAACTTTATATGGTATATGTAAATCACATATGAAAAAAAATACAAAAAATATACATATGTATTGTATATGATTATAAAATATCATTTAAATTAGAATTAAATAATTTCATAATATTATAATTATTTACAATTAAATTTAAATAGAAACTCAAAATTTTGACTTAATTCGACTGGACTCGAATGTTATAAAACCGACTCGACTCGAAAAAATTTCAATTCATATCCGAGTTATACAATAGGACTCATCAACTTATTATAACTAAAAATATTTTTGACCTAACTTGACTCGACTCAACGCTCACCCCTACAGGAATGGAAGAGTATAGTGTTTGGTTGAAGGAATATAAGATTACTAGAATGCATATTCTATCAAATTATCCTTGTGAGATTTTTTTTAGTAAATGTAATTCTTAATATTAAAATAAAATTATTTAAATAAAAATTGTTTTTTATTATTTCTAATTTATATATTTTTATTTATAAAATTTTAATTCATAGAATTTATATATTTTTTATAAAATTAAAAACATAAATGAGTAAAATAAAAGATACGTATCATATATTCATTTTTCTAATACATCATGAAAACTGAAGATTTGAGGGGAAGCTAATGGCTAATGCAAAGACAATTTAGTGCTTACAAGAAGCTGGACATCCACCACTTTGCAGAAGATTTGAGGGGGAAGATCAAAGGTGAACATTTCCGAACGAGGAACAGAGGCCACTTGTTCCAAGTGACCTTGAGGGAAGTAAACAACAAGATTTCTGTTTTTGGGAAGTGAAACTGAGGGGGTCAGCACAAGCATGCTAGAGCTCCAAGTAAATGGAAGAGGATGAACATGGACATGGTGGTGATGCTAAGTTTGAAGAACTTGAAGAAGATGATGAAAAGGAAAAACAGTTCACTTTGTCATTCCCCATCGCAAATTGCAGTCGACTTCTCCACCTCATTCACTGTATGGTTCAGATCAATTTTATGAACACCCCCAAGTTTTTTTCTTTTTTTCTTAGAAACAAAAGCTTTCACCTCACTGTAAGCACCCCATAACCCAACAAAACACCGAAGGAGAATGATCAAAGAAAAGGGTATTCCCATAAAGCTAAAAACCAGAGAAAATGGGAATTTAAGTGAAATTAGTGCCAAGAAAATCCCTTTCTAAACAAAGGAAGAAGAAGAAGAAAGACATGTTGAATGAAAGAGAGGGAAAAAGGTAACATACGTCCGGTAACCCACCTTTACGTCAAGAATGAAATAGGGGAAAAGTAAAATTTTAAAGCTCCAATGGTAACTCAGCCTTCGCCTTCATCGTCTTCTTCATCGCCGCTCCATTTGTCTTCCCTGTCCTTTTCCGCCAGCGACGTCAAGAGCAAGAGCTGCATGGCTTCAATGTCCGACTCCTCCACCGTGATAGTCGCTATTGCTTTCGCGGGCCCCGAAGCAGGTAAGTTGCCGGACCTAAAGGTGAGTTACCGGAGATGGAGATGGGTTCGACCATAACAACAAGAGTAAAAAAAAACAACTTGGTAGGAGAAGAGGAAACGGTGGGGTGTGATGAAAACGATCAATGGCTAGCAAGAGTTTTAGGGTGGGGTTCACTTCAGAAAAGAAAGAAAAAAACTAAGAAGAATTAAAATTCAATGACAAATTTTAAAAATTGGGTTACCTAAACGTCATAAAAAATCGGATACTATTTATATACGTTACCCTTATTTTTAAATGTAATTATAAGATATTTTACCATTAATTTTCAAAGTCACACATTTTAATTAACAATTTGTTAATACCTTAATTAATGGATATAAAAAAAATTAACTATCAAAATTTTTATTTTATAATAATTTAATTTTAAATTTTCAGTTAAATTTAGTTTTAGCATTTCTATTTTTTGATCAAAATATTTTATTTTTGAACAAGATAATTGATTTTTTATGAATTTATTTTTTTAAATAATTTGTTAATTTTAAAACTATTTGCTATTATGAGAATAATATCAACTCAACAATGATATAAACGTACATTATCAAACCTGAAAAAAATTAAGATTTTAATCACCATTTCCATTGATAAGGAAAAGAAGAAGAAGAAAATCCAATGTTTTTGGTTATGGAAATGGAGGAAGGAAAACAATTAGATTACCCTAAACCACAACTGCAAAATATATAAGCCTTCAGAATTTTTCTAATACAATTTGGTTGTGGTAGTGTCGCTCCACATCATTGACAATCTTTGAAGGTTAGCCAAAATAATTCCTATAATTGCAGTTTGTGTCCCTCTCTTGCATGATATTGAAGGCTTTCTTTCCCCTTCTCGAATTCTTTCATGTTACCTGAGATCGCGGAAGCGACGATCGGGATGAACTTACATTTGCCAGTTCTGGAGGATTTGTTGCATTAAGACTGCCAAAATGCAGCCTATGGATATGTTGATGACATTAACGGCATCATTGTTCAGCTGTAAGAAGAAAGGCCGTCAAAGAATCAGTGTTTCAGCTTTACAATGATAAGCAAACGAAAGATACTTGGAACATGGAACTTAAGACAGGTTTATATATGGCCAGTGCAGCTATTTTACTCAAACTCGAGAGAGGGCATCCGGTACGGGGTATATATCTGACACGGATGTTTTCATTTTTATAAGGTTTTTCCACGTATCCAGACACTTCAAGCAAAATAAAGAGACAGAGTATCATAACAGGCCACTACATGGATAACAAAACATTTTCATCCAACAGAAAATTAACAAAAAAGTTCATCTTTACGAGGCAGCTCAATAACAGGTTGATGTCACTAAATTTACTATTTGATCATCCAAAAAAAGGGTATATGATTCTTGCTCACTGCAACTTTCTGCAGTGCTGCCTGATCCAAACATCACTAGACTCCAACAAAAAGACATACAAGCAATCATCTCCTCGATATGCCACATAGGCAATTCCTTCCTAACACTAACATCTACAAGACGCACGGGCAATAAATTTTTCAAACAGTTAGAGAACAGGATGACGGAAACCATCTTATTATTCAAACGATTTCTTACCCAATGAAATCCTTCTTTCCCTTGGAATGAAGCACCGATTATACTCTCACCAAGATTAGCAATTTGAGAAGCTATTACGCATATCAGCACCTCAGGTACACTGATCTACTAGCAAGCAGAAAAAGGAAAGAGAAAGAAGTGGCTTAGAACATTTATATAATTCAAATAATCATCATTGTCAAGAAGCAATATGTCATTTCTCAATTTAAAAGTGTATCAAGGTTGCGGCATCGACAACATTATGAATAATAAGAACAATATCAAGGATTCGTACAAGCATTTGGGAAACCCTTCCTAAGGATTCACTTATGCTAGAGTGACAATCTCATCCACTCACATCCAACGAAACACTATCCATTTCATGAAATTGTAATACCAGAACATTAATCGAAATTTAAGCTCCTGGAAAAATAGTGCTAAAAAGGAACCAAGTACAAACCTAAACTAAAATGTCAAATCCCATTTATCAATATATCAAGATCTGCTATTTTGCTAAGAGTTCCCACAGAAAATCTTTGACCATCTAAAATACACATTCAACCAATTATATCCATAAAATAATTCCACCATGACACCGTCCCACCAGTATTGTTCTCAGCATCACTACCAACCAGTCTTTTGTTACAGGAAAGCAATAACTTTCCAACGTTTTTCCGAGGTGAAAACATCTAGTAATGATCATTAAACGCTGCTTGTAACTCGTAATTTAAAAGAAAAAGGCGTCCTTGAATAACGTAATAAATTATTCATAGTAGTAAATAGCCAGTACTACCTCACCCAGAAGACAACCGATAGATGCAAGTAGTACAGATGCTAGAAGTCCAGCAACTGTTCCTTCAAGACTGACAGCTCCTTCTGTTCCCCTAGGAACAATTCGAAAGTCTGTGACCAGATACCTGTTCGTTTTGGAACATCACACACTTTTATTACCAGCATAGCATAAATGAAAATAATAGCATTCAATTATAGAGTATAGACCATAAGGGATTTTAATTCCACTTGATTCAAATATCATTTCTTTAGAGTGAACTATTAGAAGTATTAATAACATTAATTTAAAAAGCCTACACCTTGACAAAAAGAGATGCTTTACTTACGTTGTCTTGCCATATGCTTTCCCAATCTCACTTGAGACAGTATCACTCAACTTAGTACAGAAACTGGCAACAAAACCAAGTCGCCAAAGTCGTGTAAATGCCTCCCCGCCAACTCCATATATTGCGAGAAAAGCACATACACAACCAGCAGCACTGGACCCAAATACACTCCCAGGTCCCCTTCTTCCTTTCCTCTTCTCGGCAACCCCTTGTGCCTCCTTTTGAGCCATTTTCACTTTTGTCACAGCTGTTCCCTGACAAATACAAACATGATTTACTTACAAAGTCATAATCTAATTCAACATGAAACGGGCAAGGGAGAATCAGAATAGGGAGGCAGGAACTAATTCAAGGTTTTCATATTGCAACTAAAACAAGCCACAATTAGAACGAAACGAAGGGAGAAATAAAGTAAAACAACATATCATTTCAAAATTGACCTTATTTCCCCTAGTACAAAAAATTTCTCTAAATAAAACTAATCAAACTTGAATAGCTAACTGATTAAAACGTAACATTTCGACATAAACTGCTTAAACAATGAAAGCTAATTCCCCAAAGCATAAAACTTTTATCCAAAATCAAAACCCAATATCCAAAATTTAACTTAAATCCCACAATTCACACAAATCTTCATGAGACATCTTCAGTAACTCACTATAACGAAGTAAGAAGCAACGAGGAGGAACCCAGGGGAGCCAAAAGCGCGCCAAGTGAGAGTCCCAAGCAAGAAAGCAGCACAGATTCCGGAGAGAGAAAGGCCCGCCACTAGAAGTGGGGTCCCGACGACGAAGATCACGAGATTACTTAGGATTGCGGATTGCCACGTGGGAGGAGACGATTGGATGGTGTCGATGGCCCGTGATAGTACGCCTTGGACCGGGACGGCGTTGATCCTGTGAAGGAATTGCATTTTGGGGGGTTTGGGGTTGGGATTTGTAGGGTTAGGGTTGAGAAGGATTGGGGATCTTTTGGGGAGGGAATGGGGGAATGGGAGAGAAGGAACCGAAGGGGATTTGATGTGAAACTGAAGCAGAGTGTTTGACCATGCCATTTTTATGAGCTGTTTTTTGAGTAACGGAGAAGAAATGAAAAATAGAAGGTGATGTTCGGGTCATGGAGCTCCGTCTCCGTCGAGTCAAGTACAGTTCGCATTTAATTTGTTTTAGGGTAAACTACATGTTTAGTATCCCAACTACCACTTTTGTTCCATTTTCCTCACCTAACTAGTTTTTATTTCAAAATCATACCTAGTGTTACATTTTGGTCACTCACCTTCAAAAAATTAGCAGTAATATTAACGTGTCACCATAAGATAATAAAACGGAATCATTAAAACCTTTTTTTAAAAATGTCATGTCAGTAGTTCTATGAATATTTTTTATTGGAGGGTGACCAAAATGATACTAAAACGTAAAGTTAAGTATAATTTAAAAAAATAATTGTTAAGTAACCAAAACATAATAAAGTAATAGGTTGAGGTACTATGTGTAGTTTATCCTCCCAACCCAATTTAGTACATTTGTAAATGTCAGTGTAGTGTTCGAATCCCTGACCTTACTTAAGAGATCTAATATCTCATCACACTAGATCAACTGGTTGTTGGTATATAATTTATTTTTATTAGGTAAAATAAGTTGATTAAAAGAAAAAATATAAAATAAAATTATTGTAATTATTCTTAAATATATAAAGATAATTATAGTATTACGTGGGTTGGATTTTTTTCACTGTCAACTCAAACCCGATCTGACTTCGCCTTTCAAAAAAAAATGACGTAATTGTTTCGAACCTTTTTTAACAATGAAAAACCGACCTGATCGGGTCGAAACCTGTCATGTTCGAATGAAATATCCATCTCTGATTACAATTAAACACCTATTAGCACGAACACGAACAAATGTAAGAGAAGTAGCTACTACGAATATGATATTCGAACTTCAAAACTATTGGATGACACATTATGAACGCAGTTGAATGAATCAAATAGGCTGCTTGAGCCTCTGGTTCAAAATACAGCGGATTTTCCTGGGAAAAAAGAACTAGGCAAGAAAAAAGTGCATTGTTCCTAATGAACTTATTCCAGCAGCAGATCATTCACAAGTTGTTTCTAATTTGTCGAATCTCGATTCTGCCAGTACCCAGAATTCAAACTGACTGGATAGAGATCAGCAGCAGATGTAGAAGAACCAGTCCATGGTCCATCACCTAACATGCTCTTCGTTTGGCTAATATCCGTGTCGTCTTCTTCGAGTTTCCGGTACAACTTCTTCATAGCTTCGGTATCCATTTGACGACTTGAAGTAATGCTCGAATCAATCAAGAATTCCTCGACCGACGCCTTGCCTTCGAGCATGCTCACCACGGAAGACATCAAAGGCCTAGCCGACGCAGTTGGATTTGTGCACAAAAGAGCGACACCGATCATCGCCATCACTTCATCTATGTTGCAATCCGAGCCAATCCGAGGGTCAACTAAGTCCAACAACTTCCCTTGCTCCTTCAAAACATGTGCCTATAGAAAACAAACAATTTCATTGCCAATATTCAGATTGATTTCATAACTATTCGACTTGTCGCATATGTGTTTGACGTTCGATACATATTCGGATATGGATACGAGAACTTTGTTTACCCATTCGAGGAGAATGAACGGTTCTTCCTTCGGACGGGTTCTAGTGTTGCATCTGCCACTAACAATTTCGAGAGCCACAATCCCAAAGCTGTATACATCTGCTTTTTCTGTCAAGTGACCATGCATTGCATATTCCGGAGCCATATAGCCACTGAAAATTTTGTATGAGCCACTTTTATAAACTAACATCGACGCATACATCGAGAACAAATCTGAAAAGAGACTTACTAAGTTCCGGCGATTCGGGTGCTAATGTGGGTGTTATCTTCTTCATCAAGCTTGGCCAAACCGAAGTCAGATATTTTCGGGTTTAGATTCTTGTCAAGCAACACATTGGTGGCCTTGATGTCTCTATGAACAATCTTCAACCTTGATTCTTCATGGAGATAAGCTAATCCTCTTGCTATACCGATGCAGATCTTTCGTCTTGTTGTCCAGTCTAATTTCAACTGAAATTCCGATTGCCCTTTACATTACCAACATACAGAGAAGCTCAGATACATACATATAAATATATATATTGACATACTTGTCATTCATGTTAGAACTGATCATTTTAGCTTTGAAAAACGATATCATCGGTTGAGATTTGTACCGAATAATGCTCGTGCAAGGCTGTTGTTCTCCAGGTACTCATATATAAGCATCAATTGATTTCCTTCTATGCAACATCCATACAACCTTACAAGATGAGGGTGTTGTAGAGCCGAAATCATGCCAATCTCGGTCACGAACTCACGATTCCCTTGCTTGGATCGAGCCGATAGCTGCTTAACAGCGATTACCGTGCCGTCCTGTAGAGTGCCCTGCATTTAAAATGAAAAAACACATGATGTCCAGGTTCAAAATCAAGAACAATGTACCTGCAGAAATATTGTGTTGGACGTGGTACCTTGTAAACGGGACCGAAACCGCCTTCTCCAATTTTGTTCGAAACGTGAAAATCATTTGTAGCAGCTTTAATTTGCCTTAAGCTAAAGGAACTTGTCTGCAAATCTACACCTTTTAGATCTGTGGAAGAAGGTTGAGCCAAATAAGAAACATTTATAATGATTTTTTTGTTCTATGTAACAGAATATAATTATTTTTTATCTGTCAAAATACCTTGTTCTAATGTTCTCTCCCGTCTTAAACAGCCCTTCCACCAAAGGATGCCCACCAACAGCAAAGCAGCAAACACCCCTCCGGCCACTATACCAACCACCGCAGCTACCGCAATACCACCGCCGTCGCTTTCTGCTCGAGGCATTGCAGGTGTATAAGCTGGTTCAACAACATTGTAAATAAGTCGGTCACAAAGATTAGTAAAACAACTTATACGAGACGACATAAGGTACAGATTTTAACATACGACCACCTACCAGGATCGAAAATGGATATTGCAGAGATAAGGGGACCGTAAACGCCTCTCCCGGGAATAGAAGTCGTCCCTTTTCCGGCCCATCGGAGGTGGATCTCCAAAGTGCCATCTGTTACATTTACAGCAAAAGGCCTTACTACTTGTATGCCTGCCCCTCCTGCTGCTTCTTCAATATTGAAATCCTTAAGCACCCGCTGTCCCTGCAATTATTATCTATTCCATTTAACCCTTTCCATGCAAGCACATGTTGTGTTCAATACATATCGGTATCCAACATCGTGTTTGGCGTATATTCAGGTATACTGTAACCCAAATAGTCTAACAAAAATTACACTGAAAGTACCTGAATGTAAACGTCAAACACCCTCCTCCCTAAGCTGCTATAATTTTGATTAGTGAACTGAATCTCGGCAAAATGGAGGTTTACTGTGTAACTTGCATTGGCGAGACAGAATGCATAGTATGTCAAAGAGCTAGGCGAGAGCCTTGCATTTTCGTGGAGTTCACCATCGGCATTACCAATTGTTAAGATGTCGTTGTTCCGATCATCATTTAGAAAAACTCCGGTGCTACTAAGTGCCCAGTTGGAATCCGACCGTAAGAATGTCGAAGGTCCGGCTTGACCAACATCACCTTCATAATTGGTTCCGTTAATGCTTTTTGGTCTTCCTCCACAGTTTATATAAACAGAATGCAAAGCTGAGGAAAACAGCATATGCATTTGCACATCGATTAGTACATCGAATATGAATCGAGATGAACACAGATGAAGTACATGATATTTCCACTTACGTTCTGTGCAGTTAATCTGGTTACTCAAACATGGAACGATCCCTCTGGCAAAACAATCATATGCCCCAGAAAAACACAAATTAGCCATTGCAAACACAGACAACGATTCATGCTTGAAAAACAGTACTTACGAGTTATTGGTCCTTGGAATGCTTGAAAAAAGGTTCCTACAGATCGAAAACGGAGCAGAAATCGTTTAAAATCGATAGATATTTGAATAAAGATCCGAACACATAATTAAACAACAATTCGACTCGAAAGATGTCGTACAGGGTTGGACTTCCGCAGTCTGTTACACCACCCGTGCTAGTGAAGTTGTTATATGAAACATCCCTGCAAATAGATTACTTCAGAATATGATTTTCGTTTAATGGCTATATTCATGTAATTCAACATTAACTAAGAATAGAATCATACATTTCTTCTCTTGTTTGCAGTATCCAACGAGGGACTGCTCCAGTAAAATTGTTTCCATTTAAGTACCTAGTAGAAGAAATCATTAGATTTTCAGTAAATATGAACATATGAAAAAAAAAATTACATGTCCTTACAATGTATCCAAATTAAGACCAGAAAGATCTGGGATTTCTCCACTGAGTCTGTTAAAGCTGAGATCTCTGCAAGAACATTATGTTCCAAGACAAGTTAGAAATGTCGAGATTCGAATCACTAACACGTCGGACGTTACGTTTTAAAGGTGACACTGCATGAACAAACAAACAAACTAGACTAAATCCGGACAGCTCGAAAAGAAAGCCCGACACTTACAAGATCTTTATCGTTGTGAATCTCCCAAGAAAAGCAGGTATCTCTTCAATGAGATTGCAGCTCCTCAACATCCTATAATTCAATCAAAAACATATTGCATCAAATTTGGAGTTCATCAGTATACTATATCATTCCCTTGCTGAACAGATATGCTTACACTCTATCCAAACTAGGCAGATCGGCATCGAGTCGTGGAAAAGCCGCTTCAGCTCCGTTCAAGTCACTAATTATTCTGTGAACCAATATCAGATACAATCATAAACGAGGAAAAGCCGCTTCAGCTACGTTCAAGTCACTAATCTACAGCAATTGAGGCTTACATGTATTTTAAGTTTTCCAGAGTAGTATTAATGGATGGAATTGGTCCACTCAAGCCACTTCCCTCCATGTATCTGTCATCATACAGAAGGTGGAATCATTTGATTGATTAAACAAAGCATCTCCAATGAAATATAAAGACTAAAATCAAATCCAACAATGTTGATTAAAGTCTCACATCAGTGTAAGATTTCTCCAGCTCCGGAACATGAACTCGGGAATCCGTCCCGTGAAGTTGTTGTCACTGATACGACTGTTGCAAAACAAAACATTAATATTCGATATCTAATAATTAAGTGAGTGGAGAAGAACATTAGAATTGCTTACAACTCCTTCAACGAAGTCAGCCTAGCATATGCATCAGGTATTCCTCCAGTAAAATTGTTGGAACTAAGATGCCTGTAAAAACCAGTAAACAGATATTAAACGATAAGAATGATCATCATTTCCCCTAAATCATCAGGAATCTGAGGATGGAAATGATTCAAATCAACAGTGAAGAGTGATAAATATATACATTAAAAAGAAAAGGATCTGTCTTACAATCTCTCAAGTTTGGATAGATTCCCCAATGCCCGAGGCAAATTTCCCCAAAGTCCATTGACCTCAAGAACTCTACAAAGTTTTCCAATTAATAAAATTAATTATCCAATATACATTCATAAAAGAAAAGAAAAAAATCTTATAACAATTTTCCATGACATGAATTGAGGATATATTTATGTAGAAACTGGTGTAATCCAACTCACAAACTGGTAAGATTGCTGAGGTTTGCTAGCTCTTCTGGGATTTCACCAGTTAATCGATTTCCAAGAAGGGAACTGAATCACAAAACATTTTTCCATTTAGCAACAATATATATATATATATATATATATGTATATAACCCGTAAAGACATAAACATAGAGAAGCAGGAAAGAAACATACATGTTGACGAGTCTGGAAGCAGAGCCCCATTGAGGAGGAATGTTGCCACTAAGATAGTTGCGAGTTAGGTCACTGTAAAAATAGTTAATTAGTTGATGCAAAATTAAGCTATATATATAATAGTATATGCATATATATATCATGAAAGAAAAAGAAGTTTGAAAACGAGGTCCATACATTTCTTGCAGGAAAGGGAGACTGTCCAAGTTTGTTGGGAGGGTACCTGAGAGATTTTGTGTCTTGAGCAGTCTGATACAAAACAAAGTTAAGTTCAAAAAATCAGTAAAAAGTGACACTAACTTGACCTCAATAAGGGGTTTTTTTAACCTTGCTTGAAATTGTATAATGCATTAGTTACATGTATATATATAACTTATTATATTTTTTTGGGTTCAGTTAATAAGTGCTTATAGACATTAGTTAAAAACTAAAGGCAATAAGGTATTAGAGGTCTCTGTACTTTCTTTAAAAAATCAATGTGACCCTCATCTTATTTTTTCTCTCTCAACGTGGCCTCAACTCAAAAAATAAGTCTAATATGACTCTTTGACCAAAGTTTTTCGTCGTTGACAGTTACGGTGTTGGTTGATAATGTGGAGGATAACATGACAGATGAGTTAAATTGGTGACTCAAACATGACAGATAGATTGTCATGTTAGTACCGTAGACCACCACAACAACTTTGTGACTTGTCACGTCAGCACTATAATGGTCAAACGACGAAAAATGTTGGTTAAAGGGCAACATTGAGTTTGTTTTATGAGTTTGAGGACCACATTGAGAGAGAGAAAATAATACGATGACCACATTGATTTTTTTCAAAAGTATAGGACATCTAATGCCTTTTTGCCAAAAACTAAAGAAGTATTATACTTTATTAAAAAAATGAAAAATATTATTTACTCATGGTTTTTTTAATAAAATAGGGTGAAGTATACAAATGGTCATATGTCTATAGGTCGTTGCATTGTTGAATTCTCAACTATTAAAAGTTACAAAATAGTCCCTAATTGTATGGTGTTATTTTGTTGAATTCTTGACTACTCTTATGTTTCAAGCATTAATTCGACGACATAGTGTAAATGGAGAGTTAATCAAGAAAATACAACTCAAATGATTTTAGGATCAACTTTATCATATCCCAGTCACTAAGTCAATTTTTTAACGTCAAAAGACGAGTTTAGAACATATAAATAATTGAGTGATCATTTTATATTTTTTTAATAATAAAAAACTCAAGTAACTTTTAATTATCAAGGTCATGTGCACCTTACCCTAGAAAATATTATCAGTGCCCCTAATTTTAAACTATATACGAAGTATAATTTTCAAAAGTCGATAAAAATTATTAAAGAAATGATTGTTATTCTAAGATGTCTCGAATTTAAGATTCAAAGAATATAAGATATTTAAACGCTCGTTATAATATAATTAAAAATCTTTAAAACAAATACTCATATCCGTAATCAAAAGAATAAAAGGTTGGAACGACTTGGTACATGCATGTCGGCCATCGCTTCCATTGACTAGACAGGTCAAGTCAACAGTTGTTGGTGGGCTGTTTAATTTATTCGATGTACTACGTTACCACTTGCTGTTAGACTCGTGACACCACCGGCCCACAATTTAATTTCGGATAAGAGATTGATGTCAAAGTTCAATTTACAATTACTATTATATAGTTTTTATTAAGGGTAAATTATATTTTTAATCACCCACTTATTATCATGATTTCATTTTGGTCACTAATTATTATTTCTTTCAAAACCGTACCTAATATTACGTGTTTAGTTCTATTTTAATCATTTACCGTTAAAAAATCAACGTCGATGCAGACGTGTCAACATAAAATAATAACATTTTTTATTGAAAAATAAAAAGGTTGACATATCAGTAATTCTATGCATTTTTAATGCAAATGATTAAAACGGAACAAAAATGCAACCTCAGTATGATTTTGGAAAAGGATAGATGAATGACCAAACTGAATCACAAGAACAGATGGACGACTAAATATGTATTTACTCTTTTATTAATTATCATATTTGTTTTTTTATCTAAAAATTAATTAATAATTGTCAAACAAACAAGTTTTATAGCCGTCAGAACAGTTCAACGAAGGAAACTTTGAACAAAGACAAATCTTTGATTGAAAATTTCCACAAAAATTATTCATATATTCCCACACCTCCTCTAACGGTAAAATATTAATAAATATATACTGACCAATTTTTATATTATTTTAAAATAATAAAAACAAACTTTTTTCATATTTAAAACATAAATTTTCAATTTGTCAATGGCAAGAAATTCCTCAATTAGTTTATATTAATAATATTTTTTTATTCAAAAAGTAAGTTTTGAATTCCTTATTTCACGATTCAGAATTAAAGTCAAGGATCTCCCCATGCATTTCATCACGTTTAATTTATATGGTTTTTTTAATGAATAATGCATTAGTTTTTATGATACTTTTTTTATATAATAAATCAACATTGATTTAGGTAAAAACATTGGTTTTTTACGTACAGTAAATGTAAATCTTGAAACAAAATGGAAATAGTAATTAACCTAAAATATTAAGCATTTTTATTTTCCTAAACCTAAAATAAGACATCTAGAAAAGCAATTAGCCTAAGGTCATCTCCAACGCTGCAATAATGTGGAGATATCTCCACTTTGGAGTGCTCCAGCCCTGCTCCAAACTCAACTTTGGAGAAAAATAAAACTGCCTACAAAAATCTTTTTTTTATTATGTTTTTTGGTTTTTATTTTATAATTAAATTGTAATATAGATAAAAATACATTGAAATTAGATATATAAACACACTAATTTTATTCTACGAAAAATACTAATTGATATTTGTGGAATGAATATTTTAATTTGGAGAATTAAAATAAATAATTATGTAACTTATGTTTTTCGTATTATTACTATTAATTGTAATTTTCTTATTTATTTGTATTTTCGAAATGTTATTTATGAATGTTTTATTTATGTTTTTTATCTTGATATTTTTTAGAAATGTGTATGTTTTATTTTATATTTGTAAAATCAATATTATAATAATTAAATATTGTGAATAAAGTAGAGTTGATGGTAATGTAGAGATAGCGCTGGAGATAAATTATTGTTTCATCTTTAGAGTATATATAAAGATGTGCTATAGTAGAGATGAGGACCGGAGATACATAAGTGCTTATTGGAAACAACACATGCATACGTAAAGGCATCCGTTCTGATGGTATATATCATCCCGTGCCTACTAAATCTAGAATTGCAGTTGCTCTTTTCTTTAAATTTAAACTCGAACTTGCTGCTAATAAATTCGAGTAAATGCTTATAAGCAAGGATGAATCGAGAGATACTAGGCTGTCATGTCTCCTGAAGTTTCAAATTCTTATAAATTCAAGTTTTTTTATGATCTAATTTTGTAATTTCACGTTCTTAAATTTTTAATGTACTTACTAAAGATTCACACTTAATTTTTTACATAAAATCATACTTGTCCCTACTCTGTCCGTACTCATAAGCATAGACAAACACACATTTTTATGCTATACTGAATTTTATAAAACTTTTAGAAGTGGAGAAAATAAATTATCAATATATAGAAAGTATAAATAAAAAACTAAGATATAAGAGATTTTAAAAGTTTTAGGAAAACAACTGCCCTACCCGCTCCCAGTTCCTTCCCTGCTTATAAGCCATAATCCATGAACAGAGAGAGAGAGAGAGAGAGATGCTTACATGTGGGTGACGTGGCAGGTATTGCTATTGTTGAAGGAGCAATCGCATGTAACATTATTAGCATAACTAGATGATGGTGGATCTATCCAACCCCTGGCTCCACTGCATGGATCAATATCATCAAAGTTCCAATCTGTCTTCACCAATGTCCTACCAATGCTTCTCAAAGCTTCCACTACAAAATAATAATAAAAAATGAATGAAATTTACTATAAAAAAAACCCAAACAAATTAAGCTTCTTTCAACAGTAAAATATCATGACTGTTACCTTCATCTCTGCCAAGCGTAGCTCCATTTGCAAACCTTGTAAGGCTACAAACTATGAATATTGAAGCAAAAACGAGTCGGTGAAAGAGCATACTGGGAGAGGATGATTAATTCAAGAGCTCCTTGTGGTTGATTTGAATGAGCAAAAATGGGTTGAAAGATCAGGTTTTCATAGGGATTTTAGACTGAGAAATTTGGAAGTTTCCTTGAAATGAAATCAAAAGCAAGGGGAAGAAAATTATTTGGCCGCCTATGGAGGAAAGATGGAGGAGAGAGAGAGAAGTAGGGTGAACGCTTTTATTATCGAGTTGCCAGAAAAGTTCAATTATTGTACTGCGATGGGATGTATGTGGACTTTGTGATGAAAAAGACTTTAGCACATTAGCAACTTGTTAAAATATCTTGCATGAAAATTAATTGACATGACTCATGAGGCCCCAATCCCCATGTCCCCATCTCTCTACTGATTTATGTTGAACTAATTATTTTTATTTATTAACTTTTTAAAAACTTATAAAATTATCATTAAATGAATGTCTCTTGTTTCCATATGTAATAAAGTAAGGGGAGGTAAGATAGTAGGCTGCTCCCAACTTCTGGTTGAGAGCAGCTTCCGTAGGAGACCTCCAAATTATGAAATGCCTTCCATGGGTCTCGATCCTACGACCTCAAGATTAAGAACATTGTGCTCTACCAACTGAACTGGATGATCATTTCTTATAAAATTATCATTAAATTTAATAAATTTTATCAAATTATTATAAAACAATTATTGGATTTATCAAAATTTTATAATCGTAGTGACCGTTTTGTAACAATTCAATAAATTTAATGAGTATGTTATGATTTTTTAAGTTTAATGATCAAACGATGATTTGAATATAGTTTAATGGCATCTAATGTACTTTACAAGTATATATAATCACTTATATTTAATTTATTGAACGACTGGTCTAAATAGAATATTATAAAAATCTATTACGGGTTGACATCCTATCTCAATTTTATTTATTCATAATGTTTTTTTAAAGGAATTAGCGTCCATTTTTGTTAAAAATAAAAAAAAATTAATTGCATCACATGTCCTTGAAATATGACATTCATTCTAAATTAATCCTTAAAATTTTAAATATTATAATTTCTTACCTAAACTATAACTATCATTCTAAATTAATCCTTAAACTTTTGAGCATTTCAATTCCGTCCCCAATTATGACCTTCATTCTAAATTAGTCTAAATTTTTTAAATTCCAATTTCATTCCAAACTATATGCATATACTAATTACATCCCTTGTTAATAAAATTGCTAGGCCAAGTTATATTATTGTATGTTTGAAACAAACAAAATTTAGGTTAAACTACGGTTGAAACTAATTATATATTTGGATGAACTTGGGAATGGAATTGGAATATTCAAAAAGTTTGGGGACTAATTCAAAAAGAGGGATTGTAGAATGTTTGACTTAGCATTTTGTCTGCATGTTGGATTTGGGAAAGTGCTCTTTGTTTGAATAATTCATTAATATTTTCTATTAAAACTTAATTATAAAATATAAATATCATTATAAAATAAAAAATATTTAATATTCTAAAAATAAATTAACTACTTGATCGATTTAAATATTACTAAATTTAAACGTGGATAAAAAAAAGAAATTCAATTCACATCTTAAATAAATTTATTAATCTCATCCAAATAACAATTTGAGTGCAATCGTAAATAATATTTTCTTGGTATATGATTTTTCTTAATATTTTCTTGGTATATGATTTTTTTAGATACTTTTCTTGATGGATGATTTTTGTTCACATTGAAACAATTGAGTTTGGTTGGTCTAGAAAAATAACTTGAGTTTAGACCTAAAAGTAGTCATTAATCAGATTTTTTTGTTCTCCTGGTTTCAAGGTTTTACCCTGACTAATACGAACTGATACGCATGTCGTTCACCTGATTTTTGTGGATGGCTCTACCAATAGAGATTTTCTACATACACGAGAATTTAAACTCGAGACATGCTTAAATAATATCAAATCACTTACTACTTAAATCAACCCCGTTGATTACTGATCAGATTTTTTTATTGCCCTGAAAACCATACTTTGAATTCTGATATGTTGTGATTTAAGGCAGGCTTTGAGTTGCTTGAGGTTAGGGTTGGCAATTATCCACGGGTGAGTGGATTATCCATCCACCCGCCTCGAATAAATGGATGAAAACTCGCGGTGAAACGGATGATTGGCGGGTGATGGATGGATCGGGTGATGGGTCGGGTCGGATATGGATGAAATTTTTTTGACCCATCACCCGCATCATCCATCCACCCATTAATATATCCATTCATCCATATATATATATATATATATATTATCCCATTGAAAATATGTCTAATTTTTTAATATTGGTTTATCCCTATTGATATTAAAATGTTATATTATAATTTTAGATTTTTTAAAATTACATTATTAAAAATGCATTATTGATAATTATAAAATTTTAAAAATATATTAAATATTCTATAATACAAGTATACAACTACCCTCAAATTTTAATTTTAGCATTTAATATCAAGATACTATTTGTATTGACCTCATAAATCGGTACCAAATCGATTAATTAATGTATTTGTAATGAACCCTAACCCTAAAACCTAAACTATAAATCTTAAACCTTAAACCCTAAACCTAAGCACTAAATCCTAAACCTTAAACTATAAACTATAAATCCGATACCTAAAACCATAAAACCTAAACCCTAAACTTAAAACCATAAACCCCAAACCATAAATCCGATTATGTGATAGGAGTTAATTTGATAAATTAATGAAATTAATTTATAAAAATTTTAATAACTAATTTTTTAAATTGTTGTGACCCTAAACCCTAAACCCGATTACACATATGCAAACAATTATTTCCAACTGAATGATTCATGGTGAAATCGATTATGTTCAGTCTACACTTGCTTCGCCGAGTTGAAAATGCATATGATTCAACTCTAACATTAAAGAACACGAGCTAAGAATATAAAAAAGAGTATTGATAAATACCATTTCGAGTCGAAGGACTCAATAGAGGCAGATCCATGTATACGGCCAGGTGATTCAGTTTGCAATGAGGTGAGTTCGAGCTCAAAATCGAGCTTCAATCGAGTTTCAATTGAGCTCTTGAATTTTTTTGAGTTCGAGCCTTGTATAGGTCCTCACTTTACATGGACTAACCATCGGTCTGAGAGGTTTGGGCCATGAAATTGGATAGGGGATTTTGACCCAATAAGGAAAATGGGTAAATTATTTGGAAAAAATAGAGTAGGTAGAAGTTTATTTTGGGATTACGACATTTTCTACAGTATTCATGGAACTCATCATGTCAAGGTGAAAAATTTCAATAAAAAATATTTTTATTCGAACTCATCACATTGAGCTGACGAGTTCTAATAAAATATAATTTTTTAATTAAAATTTATCACATCGAGATAAAAAGTTTAAATAAAAAATATTTTTTATTAAAACTCATCACTTCGAGGTGACGAGTTCCATGTCACTGTCGAAGAAGATGTTATAGATCCTAAAATAAACTTCTACTTCCCTTATTGAGCTAAATAAAAAACTCATAAATCGTACTGGGTTATTTTTACCATTGGATAGAGCCTTGATTAATGTCAGCTAACTGCCTATTATTGTCCAATTCATGAGAAAGTAGAGAAAAAAATATAAATGATGTTTTATATCTGAGTTTCATCCCGTTTCTCAATCTTGTTTGAGAGGATTTATAATGACTCTCAGTATATTTGGGTGTGCGTCAATCGTAAAACATCATGATTGCATGTAGATTAGCCGATAAAATGAATTCGATCATGTGACGGTAGATTTGACTCTGTCGAAAGTCGTCAAACTACGAAGGCCTTTTTGGCAAACTATAGCAATCTGGATACGATCAGTCTTCTACATACCGAATGAAGAACTCTCGAAGAGGCTCAGTGCAATTAGAGGCTAGTATGGTAAGGTCAACGACTAATGAAAAAAATTAGGTTCAATGAACTGGGATCACCTCAACGTCATCACATGAACTGGGCAATGGCATATTTTCCCACCACAAACAATAATATAACAACAACAAAAATGGAAGTGGCACCACTAAATGATAATCTCCAATCTCCATGACTTTTCATGCTTATTGCAACATAACAGGAAACATTATGTGCTCGAAATTGCTCAAATCGTCCAACCAAAGTCACCATTATGTGACTGTTTATATATAATGTTCGAATAAAAATAGTTGTTTGTAAGTTCTATATAAAGGTGACAAAGAAGTACGAATTGCTTCCAAACTGAACCAATAGGAAAAGCTGAATTTCTAGTCCATGGCAATCTCATTCTTCTTCATTCTCTTGCTTCTCTGCTCTTTCAAGAACACCTATGGCTTCCGACCCGAAACCGCAACCATTGAAACCATGAATCTTCACACTCACACTCTTCAAACCACTTCTCTGTTGCCATCAACTGTTTGCAAATCCTCTCGCAAAGGTTCGATTTTTATCTCCCATAGATTCGATATATATATAGATATACAGCGTGGGGTAAACTTGTAAAATTTTAAAAGTAAAAGTGTATTATTGATTTATGCTTACCTATTACAGGTATGAAGGAAAGATCATCAATACCAATAGTGAACAAGCATGGTCCATGCTGGGGACTGAGCCAAGACAAAGCAAATCTTGTTCCCTCTCATGCCGAAGTACTTCGTCAAGACCAAGCCCGAGCTGATTTGATCCACTCGATGCTCTCCTCGAATTCCTTGGAGAAGACGTCACTTCAAGAAAACCCCGGAATCTCGATCGGCACGGGCAAATACCAAGTAGGAATAGGCTTCGGTAGGTCTAATACGAAGCTTTCCTTGGTGTTCGACACTGCTAGCCAATTAACATGGACTCAATGCCAGCCATGCTCTGGATATTGTTATGATCAAAATGAACCAATATTCAATCCATTGAAGTCTTCATCTTATGCCAGCGTTTGGTGCCCGTCGGCGACCTGCAATCAAATTTCTTCCGAAGGTAACGATGATGGTTGCTTAGTTTGAATTCTTTAAGTAGAGATTTTATATTGACATAATCGATATTTTAATTGCAGGTATACAAAAAGGTTGCTCTTCCTCTTCAACATGTATATATGGGGTTGAATACAGCAATACTACGTTTTCAGTTGGCTTTCTTGCTAGAGAAACCATAAGCCTAACATCTTCCGATGTGTTCCGAGGTTTCTTATTCGGCTGCGGCCAACAGAATCGTTTCCCAAACGGTGGAGGTGCAGCAGGGGTGTTAGGCCTCGGCCGTGGATGGTTTTCTATAGTTTCCCAAACTTCTAACAAGTACCACAAGGTTTTCTCATATTGCTTACCGTCAAGTGATGAATCAGCAGGATATTTGAAGTTTGGTGATGGAAACCTTCCGAGTTCGATCAAATTCACTCCGATGTCAAAATCATTTGAGGGCACAAACTATTATGGTCTCGATATAGTCGATATCGGCGTAGGTGGTGAAAGATTATCCATCGACAGGTCGGTTTTTTCAACCTCTGGCACCGTCATCGATTCGGCATCTTTGATCACCCGACTCCCTCCGGCTGCCTATGCAAGAGTCAGGCGATCTTTCGTAGCGAAGATGACCAATTATCCGACGGCACCAGCGTTCGAAAACCTGGGGACATGCTACGATTTCAGAGGGAATTCGACTGTCGTAATGCCGTCCATTACCTTGTACTTTGACGGAGGTGTTGAGATGCCTATTGATGCTAGAGGGATATTGTACATCAACAAGATATCTCAAGCATGTTTGGCGTTTGCGAAAAACCATGAAGACGACGATGTGATGATCGTAGGAAATTTTCAACAGAAAGGGTACGAGGTTGTCTATGACGATGCTAACGGAAGGGTTGGATTTGCTGCTGGTAGTTGTTAATGGGATCTTCATGTTGGAATATTTGAGCAAAAACTATGATTGTTTTCAACAATCAACCCTTTTCGAAGGACACTAAGCTCAAATTTTCAAAACCTTACTTTTATTAAGGTCATGGAATACTTATGCTGTCCACTAGTTAAGCAATAAGGGAACAAGTGGAGCAATGTAATCATAGAATACTTGGAAGTGTTTGTGGTTATAATACCTATCAAGTATTGTTCAAAAACCCTACTTTTTTTAAGCTCATAGAATACTTATGCTCTCCACTAGAGTAAGCAATAAGGGAACAAGTGGAGCAATGTAATCATAGAATACTTGGAAGCGTTTGTGGTTATGATATCTATCAAGTATTGTGTGAATAAGTACGTATACATAATTTTATGCTAGGGGATAATTTTTAAAAAAAAATATAGAAGTAAAAATAAATTATCAATAGAAAATACAAAGAAAATATCTAAAATATATCGATAATTTAAAATTTTCTACCTCACCAACTTCCCTCTATACATCCCTGTGTGTGAGTGTATATTATAATCACGTTGAATATTAGAAAGGGTAAGTCATTTAACCTACCCATAATCTAACAAAACTCTTACTTCATAAATCACGTCGTGATATTTTCTTCTTCCAAACTTCAACTACAAGCCATTTTCCAATTACCTTCTAAAAGAAAAAGATATGTATCCATCTTCACCCCCAACCCATTTCACCCGGTAAATTCTTCAGCAACCAATAATTGATACTGTCTTCACTAGTCTTGAATCTGAAAACGATGACGGTATGGTCGAGATGAGTTAAGCTAAGAATTAACTCGCGGAACTTGTCGTGGGTTAAGTCGGGAGGGATGTTGAAGTGGTGAGCGGTGGGCTTGAAGTCGAGCATTGAAGAGGAATATTCGACTATGGAAGAAAGAGAGGAGAGAGAAAGAAAAGAGAGAAGAGAGGAAGATTGAAATAACAATAGAGAAGCATAAACTCAGCTGTTGTTTCTCTCTTCATGGTTTGCATTGTACCCAGACCCAACCTTATGGCAAAAACTCCCTTCCTCCCTCCTCTTATGTTTCTCCTGCTATTTGCAACCTTGAGGGCTACTTTGTCTGCCAACATCACCACCGATGAATCCGCCCTTTTTGCCTTAAAATCCCATATAACTCATGATCCACACAACCAACTGGTCCACTTCTATCTCTGTGTGCAATTGGATTGGTGTCACCTATGTATCCAGACACCATAGAGTCATTGTTCAGAATTTGTCAAGTATGGATCTCACAGGCACCATCCCACCTCTATTGGGAAATTTGTCTTCCCTTTCCAGGCTCGATATCAGCTACAATAGTTTACATGGCTCTTTACCCATTGAGTTAGCCAGTTTGTATGGGATGGAGTATTTGAACTTTGGTAGCAACAACTTTGAAGGAAACATCCCATCGGGAATATTTGATAACCTTTCGAAATTGCAAAAACTCGAGTGGGAATCGGATTTCTGGTAGAATTCCAACTGATTTATTCAAGTGCAAAGAGTTGAGGTATTTATCATTGTATAACAACTCTTTGAATGGAACTATACCTATAGAAATCGGAAACTTGACTAATCTATACTCTTTGCTTCTTGGCTACAACAACCTCACAGGTAAATTGTCCCTTGTTTTAATTTCTTCGTTTTTCCCCATTTTTAAATATTGAAGCATGACTTTAAACATATAGTCGTGATGGATGCATGATATTAGGGGATGAAAATAGATTATCAATAAAAAAATCGAAAAAATATGAGAAATATTTGAAAATTTCAAAGGGACGACCGCCCGATCAACCCCACTCGGTCCATCTCTGATATAGCCAATTGATCTTATTTATTGTAGGGTCTATTCAAAGCCGTCTCGGACATTTTTAAACCCTGAGCAAAACTAAAAATAGGCCCTTATAAAATGAAAGTATATTATATTACTTTGAACAATTAATTTAAAATTACATTAATAAATCATAGAAAATTGATTAAATTATGGGTTTAAATTATAAAAGTAAAAAGTATGATTGAAAAATTAGGGTCCTCAATTTTAAAGGTAAAAAGTGAGATTAAAAAAATTAGGGGCCTCAATTTTGAAGGTAAAAAGTATGATTGAAAAATTAGGGGTCTCAATTATAAAGGTAAAAGGTGATATTGAAAAAATTAGGAGTTCAATTATAAAGGTAAAATGTGAGATTGAAAAAAAAATTAGGGTCATCAATTATAAATATAAAAAAGTGAGATTGAAAAAATTAATGGTCTCAATTATAAAGATAAAAAGTGAGATTAGAAAAATTAGGGGCCTCAATTATAAATATAAAAATTAAAGAAAATGAAAGGACTTAATTATAAAAATAAAAAAAAATATAATAGAAAAAATAGGAGCCCTATAAAAATGGGGACACTGAGCAGGTGCACCCCCAAATGGCCGGCCCTGGGTCTATTCCTTCCTCAATCTTCAACATTTCTTCATTGCAAGAAATTGTTTTGGGTATTTAATCATTTTATCCTTAAGATATTTCTATTACTATCAAGTACTTAAGAGTTTTAAAGTTCCCTTCACAAGCCCTAATGATAATTTACTTTTTTCCTCAAGTTTTAACCCACAAAACAAATTACTTTTAAGGACATTTCAATAATTTTACACTTATAGGACATTTTGATAATTCAATCTTTTAGCGTATTAAGGCCTCCTCTTAGTCTCATATAATCATTATGAATTAACACCAACTTTTCTTGATCATTTTAGAAGAACAACTAGACTTAAAATAACATTAGATATCAAAATCAAACGTGGGTATAAGGTATAGATATTTTTGGGCATTATCATTATTAAATTCACAGAGTCATCTCGGATATTTTCAAAACCCTGAGTGAAACTAAAAAATAAGTTCTTATAAAAGGAATATGTATTATATTACTTTGAGCATTTAATTTAATGCTACATTAATAAGTCATAGAAAAATAATTTAATTAGGAGTTTAAATTATAAAGGTAAAAAGTATGATTCAAAAAATTAGGGACCTCAATTATAAAGGTAAAAAGTGTTAGGGGCCTCAAATTTAAAGATAAAAAGTAAGATTGAAAAAATTAGAGGCCAAAGAAACGTGAAACTAATAAAGGATTGCTTTTGGAAATTTTCCAAAAGCTTCCCTAAACTACACTTTTTTTATTATAATGGAAGACCAAGACTTCCTGTTTCCAAGACTTCTCCAATAACGATGATGAATTGAATTGAAAATTTTCTACATAGATGGGTAATGGATATGGGCTGGTGAGATACATGGTATTCACAACTGGAAAACCATGGTGCTTCATTAGGATATACAAGAGAGATCAAACAAGAGCAGAAAAGTTCATTGCATGGCAGGAGGCAGGTCTTTATCCATATTTGTTTTATATATGTACATATTCACGTATGTACAGTACTTATGTAGATTGCATATTCGGATATTTTCTATTTTTTAATCCAGAAGGTGAAGTTGAATATCCGAATATGCAAACAACATAATTTATATATATATATATATATATATTCGAATAAGGAACATTGCTCATCATGTATCATTGTTTTGTCCTTACAAAATTTCCTTAAAGCTTTCCTAAAGTGCACTTTGGATTAAGAAAACATAAAATGTTTTAGTTGGAAGACCAAGACTTCTCTAATTATAACAATGACTAGCTTGCAATTTCATTTCTTCTACTTTCCTTTCCCTCCCCCATTCCATTTCAAGGAGTAAAAAGAAGAAGAAAAAGAAAATGAGGTTCCTCCTCCTCCTCCTTATCCTCCACATTTCCTACTCCTCCGCCGCAAGGGCCATCTCGGAGCATCGTGCGCTCATGGCCGTTAAATCCTCTATTACCAATGACCCTCGATCTTACCTCTCCAACTGGAACGCAACTACTCCGCTTTGCTCATTTACTGGTGTAACATGCGATCATACTGGTCGTTATGTGACATCCATCAACTTAACCAACTTCAACCTGTCGGGAACACTTTCGCCGTCATTTTCCCACCTCCGTTTCCTTCGAAACCTCTCTGTCGCGGTCAACCAGCTTTCCGGTCCAATCCCAATGAAACTCTCTGCCCTCTCCGGTCTCCGTTACCTCAACCTTTCCTTCAATGTTTTCAACGGTTCCTTCCCTACCCAACTTTCCCAGCTGAAAAACCTACAAGTCCTTGATTTATACGACAACAACATGACTGGGGAGATACCGGTTTCAGTCACGGAGCTTCCCAATCTGCGATACTTGCATTTGGGTGGTAATTATTTCACTGGTCACATCCCGTCAAGTTACGGCCTCTGGGAGCATCTCGAATATTTGGCAGTATCGGGCAACGAACTCAACGGAAAAATCCCACCTGAAATCGGCAACTTAACCAAGTTACAGCAGTTGTATATTGGTTATTTCAATACTTTCGAAGGTGGTTTGCCACGGGAGATTGGAAACTTATCGGAACTCGTTCGTTTCGATGCCGCTCACTGCAGGTTAACTGGCGAAATACCACCAGAGATCGGCAAGCTGAAGAAGCTCGACACGCTGTTTCTCTACGCCAATTTACTGTCCGGATCCTTACCTCCGGAGCTGGGAACCTTAAAAAGCTTGAAATCCATGGGTCTATCGGAAAATATACTAACGGGTGAGATTCCGGAGAGTTTCGCTGAGCTCAGAAACTTGACTCTGCTCCAACTTTTTAGAAACAACCTACAGGGACAGATTCCTGACATTATTGGTGAGTGGCCTGAGTTGGAGATATTACAGTTATGGGGAAATAACTTCACGGGAAGCATTCCTCAGAAGCTGGGTAGCAACAAAAAGCTTAAGTTCTTCGATCTTTCAGTAAATCAGTTAAAGGGTAAACACAAGTTACAGGTTTCTTCTTTCTTTTTCTTTTAAATGTAAAAGATAAATAAAACATTTTCCTATAACGGTAAGTATATGTTTCAGGTCCCATTCCTCCCGCTCTTGGAAACCTGACATCCCTGACAGACATTCTTCTTTTCGATAACGAATTGACAGGTATAATTCCACCATCGCTTTTATTAGCTATGCACCTCATGCATACATGTGTTACATCACAAACATAATTCACTTATTTAGTCACCCATTTATTTCTTCGTTTTGTTTTGATCACCTAACTGTTATTTTTAAAAAAAATATATTTAAAGTCACGTTTTATTTATATTTTAATCACATAATATTAGATTTGACCATTGACTTAACAGAAATTGTGATGTGACATGGAATAACAATATACTTTTAGTCATCAAAACTTACATATTCTATCAAATTTGTCTTAGTTCAAAATAATTTTAAAATTCTTTCGGTTTGTTCCAACATAAAATTTTAAAATCTTGGTTGTCATCGCTTGTTTGTTCAACTATTGATGAGGTCTCTCCGTGACGGTTGTACACCCCTCATCGGTCCCTTACAATGTGATTGTAGCGAATGACTATGAACAGGGTTTCAAAAAACGTTCCGAAAACACGATTTCGTCCGTGATATAGCGGTTTCGTCGCCGTCTGAGTTACCCGCTACACCCGCAATAGCGCCCGCGACGGCCGCAATAACGCCCACGACGGCCGCAATCACAGTAAACCTGAAATAACCGAAAACGCGACCGCGATTTGAAACCCTAACTATGAGAGTGACTGTGTTTGAACGTCGTCGCACATCCCTTACTAGGTTTTCAACGAATGACAAAAAGTTAGGGTCAGCTAACATCAAGCAACTGTAAGAGCAACCAATGAAGAGAGAGAAAACAAATGGTAACGGCGAAGAGATGGTGTTTAAAGGTTTTGTGTTTCGCAAAAGAACAACGATGACGAATGAGTGTAGATGTTACAATAGTGACAATAATCAAAATTGTGATGTGAATCCTAGGGAATCTCCAGAGTGGTGGTGGTAAGCCAAGCTACGATGGAGTTCGGGAGAATCATTAAAGGATGATGAAAGGATGAACGACGGTGGTGGGAGTCAGGGACAGACGAATGATTATATGTTGGGGGTAGTCTTCTAAAATTTTAAGGGGAACAAACTTTTAAAATTCTCGGGGGAAGAAAATAGATTATCAGTATAAAATACACAAAAATTATCTAAAATATATAATAATTTCAAAATTTTAGAAGGTGACTGTTCATCGGTCCATCCCTAATGGGAGCTATAGATAATGCGGGGATGATCAACAAAAATGAAATTAAAATAAAAAGGGACATAAGTTCGCAAACTTTGATGATTTTGAAAGAAGGCCACTAAATTATTAATAAACTAATAAATCATGTAACACCCCCAAACCGATACGGTTGAACTGATATGATCCGATGTGTCACATTAGGGTTACCGAAGTAACTCATAGTAAAAATCCAAAAAACGTAAAATTTTATCTAACACAAATTAAAATCGTAAAACAATTTATAAAAATAAAATAAAAGTTCAAGAAACATTTTGAGTTAAAATATAATTCAATCATATACAATATCAATACAAGTTCAGACACTGATATAAAACAAAATGTGACCAAAATACCTCCTAATTACACTTCTACCGTACTCCACAAGCCATGTCAAAAGAGCTCCCATTACTGATGTCGATATTGCACAGGATCAATTCTTTTAACCTGAAATGGTGAGTAACAGAGTGAGCTTTGAGAAAGCTCAGTAATAAAGAACTATCAGATGATGCTAGAAGACAAGCAAATATATGACAAAGCATAAAACTTCCTTTAAACCAGACAATACTTCAGTAAAAATCAAATTGAACATTAAACTATAATATCATATCGTGATCCAGTAGAATATCGTAAAAATGACAAAGAAGTTTATTTAAATCTGCCCTCCACTAGTACACCAAAATGAAGTCTCTTAGAACTTTATCCATAAGGACTTACCCTATACCCAATGAGTATAGGAGCCAACCTAAGGGAGTACCTAGGGGCCTTAGAGCCTGCCCAAGGGAGTACCTTGGGGCTTAAGATCCTACCCAAGGGTCACCTTAGGTCTATCAGGAATTACCTGCTTGATCCGAGCTGAACCTCAGAACTCCATAATCCTACCTAGAAAGTACCCCAACAAAAATGAGGTCATACAAATAGTAAATAGTAATTAGTAATATCAGAGATTAAGATTCATATGTATTATATATATATATCATAGAATAGAGATCAAAGATCGAGTTTTTATTTCAGATATCAAAGTCATACTTTTTATAATCATGGAAAACATCTTTTTGTATATGGAACACACTAGAAGATCAAGATAATTTTTGGAGGCACTAGGTTATTATCAGGAAGGGAAAACATGAAACTTTTACAGATTAATCGAATTTCAGAATCGAGGTCCCTGATAAAAGGGTTCATTCATTAATAGATCTAATTAACATTTAGATATTGATGCTTCGGGACCATTTAGGATTCGAGTGTATCTGGAAGGTTTTCAGGAACCTTTACATCAGAATTATTGAAGATTCAGATATAACATGAGTGATTATATTATTTAGGCAGTCAGGGGCATTTTGAACATTTTAATTCTTGGAGAATTCTTAGTAACTTAACCCAATAAAGGTAAAGCGATGATTTAGGGTATTCAAGATTTATATCGAATTATCAAAATTTTGAGTCAAACGTACTAAATAAACCATAACACTACGATACTTGATAATCATTCAGACTGAGATACTTCACGATTATTCGTTTCCTAATACTGACTGCATTAGTTGAACTAGTCACCTTCATAATCATCATTGATCGCATCTCGAGGAAACGAACATGTATTCAAATGGTATTCTTTCCAGTATTGTAATAGTATTAAGGATGGTCGACATATTTAGGTTGTAATCCATAAATCCTTAGGGGAGTTACAACATTTAAAGCTCCATCAGTACTTTCAGAACTTATCCATAGACATTTCCTTAATCCATATCATGAGGGTATTTGAGTCATTTCAGTACTCGAGGTTATTCTAATCATTTCAGAATTTTATAGTAATTTGGTCATTTCAATCAGTTCAGCCATATAAAGTGCTTCCGACAAATTGGTCTTCATATATTTATTCAGAAATCAGAATATCCTATATGATGCGATCTTGAAGGTTAGGAATCCATTATCAGGGTTTTCAAATCAAAACATGAATTTAACCAATGAATCTATAGTTCTATCAAGTCAATAATGAAATCCTAGGTCATTTCCATTGTCAAGGGAGATCCAGGTCTCTTTTTATTTCAAGGGCATTTCAGTCAATTTATTTAATTTTGTCATAGGTATTATTTTCAGGTAAATCAATCTTCAAATGTTTATTCAAGAATTGAATTTCTAGGTCTTTTTCTAACTTGGAGGCTAAGATTAATTGTAACAGGGACGACACTTAATAGCAAATTCAGTGGTATTATTGAGCCAAGTATAGCTTTTCAGGATTATTTTCGTAATTTTCTATCCAAGTGTTTATGATATTAAAACTTTTAAAGAAAATAATTGGAATTTAACGATCCTAAGGTTAATTGAATAACAAATTATTCATTGGACTGAAAATTATTTATTATCAACCTTCACTTTCCTTAAACAAATCATCTGATTTTTATTCAGTTTACTGTCTTTTTTATCGTATACAATATTAGTTTCAGAATAATTATCGATAAACATATGACCAATCATTTTTATTCATGCAATTACCAATTATGAACGAGTTCCATAACATATACAAAAGGTAGTATAGTATTACCTCAATTTTTGAACCACATCAATTGACCATTTCAACTCCATTCGATCACTCTCGTACAAGAATTCGACATCCTAAAACATCTCGGATACATAGCAAAAGAATTTACGTTAGAAACAGAACTTAATCAGGAAAACAGATCGAATCGAAAGATAAAATGTTGAAAAACAACTTATCAAGTTCAAATTTGACAAAACAGACTTTGATTTCAGACCTAAGACGTCGAAAAACATAAAATATAAATTTTTAAAATATGACATTTTAGTCAACTCTAGGCATGATAAAGTCAACTTTAGGCGTTGACTCGATTTGATTTGAGTTGACTCAACCTGATTCGAGTTGACTTTGGCCTGTTCTGGAAGTTTCTTGTTGGAGGAGTTGCCTCACGCTCGACGGCGACAGAGATAGATGCTATTTCAGTCAATCGATTTCTCCCAAAGCACTCACACAACAAAACAACCTAATCAACTTAGAAATCTGGCCAAAAACAAATAGAAATCAACGAAAAAAAGGTTTGAAATGCTTACACAACGACGATCGAAAAATTAACGACGACGAGAAAACACTGTCGGTCGAATTTTGCTCGGAAAGACTCTAGGGTTCTAACTATGGTGACAGTGTGGCGAACGGTCGTCGACATCCATCCAAATCACCATAAAACAGAATGGTGAGTTTTGGGTTTTTCTTTCGAAACTTTCGAAAGCTCACCACAGCGAACGAAAATAAGGCTCGACGAATGGGTCATTGGGCTATGACCGGACGAGGGATGCGCTTCCACGGGTGAGGGCGGTGACTTTCACCATCCAACGATGACGGGTGACCGGAGATGGGTTTCTCGAACGATTTTCTATGATTTCGTGATTATCGGTGATTGTTTTGGGGAAATGGTGGTCGGGGTTGGGGTCGCCATCGCTGACCGGATACAGGTGAACAACGGTGACAGTGGTCTGAGAGACTGGAAGCTTCTGGGAGAAGCTTTCTCACATGGAAAGGTTGAATCAATCAAACAAAAGGGGTCTGAGGGTTTTAAAATTTTAATTTATTTAACAAATATTTAGCATATCTTATCAACTACTGTCCTATAGCTTACATGGCAAGGGTACGGGTTTGGCTAACAGTAGGACACGGGTTTGATCCCACCAAACCACCTATTTCATTGTTTTTTTCCTTTGACAGATTGTGGTTGGGCAAATTCAGGACTAAGTCCTTAAATTGCCAGGAAATTGTAGAATGGACCTTAAGTTCTAGACTTTAGCTAATAGGTCCCCATTTCCATATAATTAATAAATCAAAATAAAGTTAACAAATTAGGGGTGTGACAAATCAATAAATTATTTCAAGTTAAAATGAGAAACAAATTGATAGAGTTTTTAAATATTAAGAAAATTTATGAATTATTTTTAGTTATGATCAATTTGATAGAATGTGTAAGTTGTATAGACTAAGCTGTTATTATACCAATGTCATGTCACTAATTCCGTTAAGTCAACCGTTCAAACTAACATTGAGTGACCAAAATAAAAACTAAATGTAACGCTAGGTATGATTTTTCTTTTGTAAAATCTTTTTTTAATTAAAAAGGAGTACAATCAGTCTTTTGAAAAATCTTTAAACTCCAATAATTTATTTAATTAGTGAATGACGAAAACAAAAACATGATAATAAGTGGGTTAGTAAATATATAGTTTACCTTTAATTTATTTAATTTTTCTTTTAATGAATCTTCAAACTACTAATTCTAAACTCCAATATTCCATTCTTTTTCCTAGGGAAAATTCCAACTCCACCACCCTTGTTGCAGTGGTACGATGCTTCATTGAACAACTTAGTTGGAGAAATCCCTACCTCAATATGCAATTTGAGTTCCCTCAATGTTCTCGATTTTATGGGGAATAATTTGCATGGAACAATTCCGGAGTGCATTGGAAACTTGAGTTCTTCTCTGTCACACTTTGATCTGCAGGATAATAATATTCATGGTAAAATACCCGGAAATTTTGTTAAACGTTGCAAGTTGCAAAGTTTTCGGATCAGCAACAACCACGTAGAAGGGCCATTGCCCCGATCTTTGGGTGATTGCAAAGATTTGTACCTTCTTGACGTTGGGAAAAACAAGTTGAATGACACTTTCCCAATTTGGTTAGGAAATTTGGATCAATTACAAGTTCTCATCTTGAGATCGAATAGATTTTATGGACAAGTGAAAAGCTCAGATGTTGCAGTTTCCTTCCCTGGTTTGCACGTCATTGATATCTCTCATAATAACTTCAATGGCTACTTACCTACCAAACTTTTTGAAAGTTTGCATGCCATCAAAGAAAGGAATGGAAAGAAAGTTAAACCAGAGTACATGAAAGATGAATTGGCTGGTGGAAAAGTGTATTATGTGCAAGGTTTATCTTTTACAATGAAAGGGTTCGAAGTAGAGTTTAAAGCACTATTGACCAGCTGGATGGTAATTGACTTTTCCAACAATCAATTCTTGGGAGAAATTCCTAAAACAATTGGTGAGCTTCATTCTCTTATTGTCCTGAACCTCTCTCACAATTGTTTGAAGGGTTCTATCCCACTATCATTTGGTGATTTGTCAGAACTTGAATCATTAGATCTCTCATCAAACAAGCTCCGGGGGAAGATTCCAATGGAGTCAAGTAATCTTGGATTCTTGGAGGTGTTAAACCTTTCTCATAATAGTCTCGTGGGACCTATTCCTCAAGGTAAACAATTTGATACTTTTACCAATGATTCCTACATAGGAAACTTGAACTTATGCGGGTTGCCATTATCAAAAAGTTGTGACAATGATGAGGGAACTCCAGCTAAATTTGATAGAGACAATGATGATGATGATGGATTGAATTGGAAATTTTCTATACTGATGGGGTATGGATGTGGCTTGGTGTTGGGAATGAGCATGGGATACATTGCATTCACAACAGGTAAACCATGGTGGTTCATTAAGATCTACTTGAGAGTTCAGCAAAGATTTACAAAATGGTATAGAAATAAACTCTTTCGCTGATTCCTTTGCCAAAAATAAGAGGCCTTGGACAGAGTATAAAACTTCATTTCTCGGTGGTAGGTATTGTTATCTATAGTTGTCTTCTGCTTGGGTGCTTTGTTGTATGTTGTGTTGTTCGTATTATGTTTTACAGGGCCTTCTCTCATGGCTGCAGCGTGTGCTTGTGTGTTTATAACTTGTCAGGATTATGTACTTAAATTTATTGTCCGAGATTATCTAAATGGTTGAGATCTTTTAAGAAGATATATTTTTCTCTTTAGTAAAATCTTTCTCACTACATAAAAGAAAATAATAATATAAATTGAATATTAGGTCAGTCTTTCAACTATTTATAATTTGTTAGTCATCAAATTATAAATACAATCTATAATATCTACACTTTATTTCTATGATATTTTAATACTTATAACACATGTAGCATAATTGGTTACTTAATTTTATGTCATACTTTATAATAAATTATATGTTATACATGTGTATCCATAATTGCATATTTTAATCCCACAGTGGAAGTCATGCTTTAAACGTTAGAGAGATGAATTAATACAGCAGAATTTCAAACTACGTGTTAAAAGATTGTTATTCTTTGAGGACCTAGGTTCGAGCACTATAGATGTCAGGGGTGTGAGCATTCAATGTCAAAATATTGAGAGTTTATCTTTAAACAAAAATTGATTTGTACTTACCCCAGATTAATAAAAAAATATTCGTACAACAACGATGTTTTATTTATTATTAAATTCACATAAAATGAATATAGAATGAGCCTAAAAAAAATTCATATACAAATTCCACACCAAACTTCAGAAATAGAAAAAACTTCCAAAATCCTTAAATTATCACCCCTCGAATCAAAGTATTTCAAGAAGATTGAACTTACATTAGGAAAGTATTTGACCCATCACTCTCTTATGATCTTCCTTGTACACAGTCCCAATCTTATGGTAAAAACTAGCTTCCTCCTTCCTCTCTTGTTTCTGCTGTTATTTATAAGCTATGGGGCTATTTTTTCTGTGAACTCATCCAACGCCACCATTGATCAATCGACCCTTCTTGTACTAAAATCTCATATGAGCCATGATCCATGTAATCTCTTAGCAACCAACTGGTCCACTTCTGCTTATGTTTGAGATTGGATTGGTGTCACGTGTGGATCCAGAAACGACAGAGTCACTGCTTTGAATTTATCATTTATGGATTTCACAGGCACCATCCCATCTCAATTGGAAAATTTATCTTTCCTTGTCTCCCTCGACATTCATCACAATAGTTTCCATGGCTCTTTACCTACCGAGTTAACTAATTTGCATCGCGTGAAATATTTCAACTTTGGTAACAACAGCTTCAGTGGAGAAATCCCACCATGGTTTGGTTGCTTCGCTATATTGGGAAATAAACGAGTAATTTCCCTATAACCAGATTAGTGTGAATACGAAATAAAAGCGGAAAAATAATACCCGAAATTGATAACAGTGTTCAACCAATTTTGCCTACGTCTCTGGACTGTTACAGATCTTTTACTAAAGAGAGAAAATTTACAAGTGTTTACAAAACACTCACAACTCACAAGAAAGCTCTCTAGTATTGGGAGAAAGAAATGATTTGGGATGTTTTGAAGCTAAATGAGCTAGGGTATTTATAGTTGAAGCTTAAAGACTAATCTTGTAAATACCCTATAGTCCAAGGGACTAAAATGTAATTAACCCTTGCCAAAAATCAACAAAATTAGGCAGCCCACCTTTGAATTTTAAGCAGCCCATGTGTTGCATGTGTTGACTTTCAATAATCTCCCACTTGAAGACTGATTTTAATATATCTTCACACCTCGATCGATGCAGCAATATTTATGGTCTTGTTATTCTAGCATACCAACTGAAGCTGAACACAACTTCAATTTTTCCGTAGTCACCATCTTTGTCAACATGTCTGCTGGATTTTGAACTCCACTAATCTTTTCAAGTTTCAAAATCTCATCTTCCAGAAGAGACCGAATAAAATGATATCTCAATTGTATGTGCTTCGTCCTGGAATGAAAAGACGGATTCTTCGCTAGATGGATAGCACTTTGACTGTCGCACTACAAGACATTATTTTCTTGTTTCTTACCTAACTCTTCCAAGAAACTTTGGAGACAGACCATCTCCTTGCTGCCTTTCGTAACAACGATATATTCTGCTTCAGTTGTGGAGAGAGCAACTATCTTTGAGAAATCCAACTCACTGCGGTTCCTCTTAGAGTATAGACATACCCTGTAGTGCTCATTCTGATGTCAACATTTCCGGCTAAGTCAGCATCTACGTAGCCTGTCAGAATCGTATCTCCACCTTTAAAACAAAGTGCTTTGTTTATGGTACCTCGCAGATATCTGAAGATCCATTTAACTGCTTCCCAGTGTACCTTGCCCGAATTATTCATGTACCTGCTAACAGCTCCCACTGCTTGAGCAATATCTGGTCTAGTAAAACCATGGCATACATCAGACTTCCAATTGTTGAGGCATACGACACCTTCACCATGTGTGCACGTTCTTCCTCCGTCTTTGGTGACTGCTCTTTGGAGAGTCTAAAATAAACACCTAAAGGTATACTTACTGGTTTAGCATATTGCATGTTGAACCTGGAGAGTACTTTGTTGATGTACTCAGCATGTGATAATATCAAAGTCCCCGAATTTATGTCTCTCTTAATCTTCATCACAAGAATCTGCTTTGCAGTGCCCAGATCTTTCATTGCAAACTGCTTCGACAATTTTTGCTTCAAATTTATAATCTCTTGCATTTCTAAGCCTGCAACGAGCATTTCATCAGTGAACAACAATAAAATAATGAAGTTGTTGTCGAACTTCTTGATGTAGCAACAATGATCTGCTTAGCATCTGGTAAAACCACTGCTACCCATGAAACTATCAAACTTCTTGTACCACTGTCTAGGAACTTATTTTAAACCATACAAGCTCTTATTCAACCTACATACCAGGTTTTTCTTGTCTGCCTCTATGAAGCCTTTTGGCTGCCTCATATAGATTTCTTCCTCCAAATCACCATGAATGAAAGCTGTCTTTACATCTAACTGCTCAAGATGTAAATTTTCTGCAGTTACAATTTTCAACACCAGTCTGATTGTAGACAGTTTCACGACTGGAGAGAAAATTTCATTGTAGTAAATACCTTCTTTTTGCTGAAAACCTTTGACAACCAATCTTGCTTTGTAGCGTTTTCTCCCATCGTGCTCTTCATTGATCCTGTAAATCCACTTGTTATGAAGCGCTTTCTTACCTGGTGGTAATTCAGCTAATTCCCACGTCTGATTTGACATAAGCGATTCCATCTCATCTTTCATGGAAGACTCCCACTTAACTGAATCCTTCATCTGCATTGCTTCATCATAGCACTCTGGTTCACCATTGTCAGTCAGCAACAAGTAGTGCAAAGAAGGCGAATAACGCTGAGTTAGTTTAGGAATTATGGAGGAGAGTCTCAGTTCTGGTGTACCTGGTTCTTCTTAGACTTCTTCAGGACTAATCTGAACATTATTTTCAGAAATCTCCTCAAACTCAAAAAATTCCTTTGTTTCAGCTTCGGTATTAGAGCTACTTGATTATATGGTTGAACTGTCTTTGTACATCACATTTTCATTGAAAATGACATCTCTGCTTCTGATGATCTTTCGATTTTCATAGTCCCAAAACCGGTAACTGAACTCATCACCACCATAACCAACAAAGACACATTTGTTGGACTTGGCATCAAATTTACTTCTTTCAATAGAATTTATTTGTACATAAGAAATACAATCAAACACTCTTAAGTGTGAAAGGTTTATTTCTTTTATGCTTTAAACTTCCTCTGGTATTCCACCATCTAAGGGAACTAAGGGCCCACGATTGATCATGTAAGCTGCAGTGTTGATAGCTTCAGCCCATAGCAATTTGGGCAATCTGACATGTATCATCATGCTTCTGGCACGTTCATTCAGAGTTCTGTTCATGCGCTTTGATAAGCCATTCTGCTGCGGTGTCATGGGAACTGTTGTCTCTATCTTGATCCCATTGTTTGTGCAAAATTCTCTAAATCTACTATTTATGTATTCTCCTCCATTATTAGACTTCAACTACTTGACTTTCAAACCAGTCTCATTTTCCAGCATGACCTTCCATTTTCTGAAGCTATCAAAGACTCCTGATCTCTTCTTTAGAAAATAAACCACACCTTTCTTGTAGAATCATCGATGAAGGTGACATAATATAGTGAGCCTGCAAGAGATGGAACTGGAGATGGTCCCCATACATCAGTATGAACCAACTCTAACTTTTCTGCCTTGGGTGTCTTGCCAATCTTTGCAAAACTGACTTTCTTTTGTTTACCAAAGATGCAATACTCTCATAGTTCGACATATATATTCTTTAGATCTGACAGCTTCTCTTTTGACAAAAGTGTCTTCATCCCTTTCTCGCTCATATGGCCAAGCCTTTGGTGCCATAGGTTTGATTTTCCATCAGTATCTGCTGTTGCAATGATATTCTCCAAATTTGAGGTTACATAGAGAGTACGAGTCATCTTAGCACGAGCAATGACGAGTGCTCCTTTGGTAATCTTCCATTCTCAGCCTGAAAAGGTTGTACTATATCTTTCTCCATCAAGTTGTCCTACAGAAATCAAATTCCTTTTAAGGCTAGGAATATGTCTCACTCCTTTCAGCTTCCAGGTGGTCTGGTTTGGCAACTTTAATCGGATGTCTCCTTTTCCGATGATCTTTAAGGTTTCATCATCAGCTAGATGAACCTTTCCAAAATCACCACTGACATAGTTCTCCATGATTTCTTGGCATTGGGTGGAGTGGAAAGATGCCCCTGAATCTAAGATCCATGATTCAATCGGACTGTTGACACTTAGAATCATGACATTACCTATCTTCTCTGTCATGTTGGTAGATTCCTGTGCGCCGGTATCTTTCTTCGGTGCTCGACAATCTCTTTTAAAGTGACCATTCTTGCCACAATTATAACAGTTAAAATATTTCTTTCCCGTTCTTGATTTTCCCGTTCTGGATTTCAATCTGCCACGATTTGAATTTCTTTCTGAAGTTCTCCCTCTAGACTTTGTGTGCAAGGCTGAGGATCTTGATACTTCACTAGATTCTCTCTGTCGAATTTCTTCACTCAATACCAAATCCCGAACATCGTCGAATTTTAATTTACTGTTTCCCGACGAGCTGCTGACTGCTGTAACAATAGCATTCCAACTGTTTGGTAGATATGATTAGAGAATTAAAGCTCGAACTTCATCATCGAATTCAATTTCCACATAACTCAACTGGGTTGTGATTATGTTGAGTTCATTTAGGTGTTGAGCCACTGATGCCCCTTCCGTCATCCGCAAATTGAATAATCGCCTTATCAAGTGAACTTTGTTTGAGGCTGATGACTTCTCATACATACTGGAGAGAGCCGCCATAAGACCCACTGTGGTCTTTTCCTTTGCTATGTTGAAAGCAAAATTGCGGGGTAACGTCAGTCGGATAACTCCGAGGGCTTGTCTATCGAGAAGAGCCTAGTCTTCATTCTTCATGTCCTTTGGTTGCTTTCCTGAGAGAGGTTGATATAGATTTTTCTGGTACAGAAAATCTTCAATCTGCATCTTCTAAAAGCCAAAGTTCGCACCATCGAACTTCTCAATTTTCACCTTTCCTTCGTCTGCAGTCATCGCTCCCACTCGAATCTGGCTTCTTTTGGATCATTTCTGACAATTCTTGCAAACCACCGTGTATTAGAACACCTCCGTCGACAAATTCGTATCGCCGACGAAATTTTACTATTCACGAAATTCACTATTCACATGAATAGTAACCTCACAAAAAATTGACAAAACTAGAAAAGTGGAGCTTGATAATGTTATCTCAGCCTCGGGCCTGCTGTCAGTTTTGTGCTTAGGTGAGGTTTTCCGCGACTACAGTGTAGTTTTGGTGTTTTAGTTGCGATAACGTTTCGAGGTGTTGTATCTTCACCTAATTAAGAGCAGTTTTTTTTTCTCTATTTAGGTTAGGGAGATTTTTAACGATACTCTTAATTTAGGTTTGTTTAATAAATTCTATCTTACCGAGAGAAAAAAAAACAATAGGAAATCTTTCAAACTTGAAACGATTATATAATTTACACAATAATTCTCTTTCAGGTTTTACACCTTTCTTGATCTTGAATGCATTTTCATTAAAAAATGTTTACAGTTTCTGTTCCATAATCCACGTAGAAAAATATTACCACCAAATTGTGATGGATTTGATTATATTTTTCCGGTGAAATCCCATTATTTATAGAAAGTTTAACTTCTTTAATGGTAATAGACCTTGCTTATAACAATTTAACAGGTATAATATCATATTTCTTCTCTTGTTTTTAGTACATTTATGCAATCCCTTTTAGTTGTCATAGGTACTATAAAACTAAACATAAGTTGCATGTTTTTTTAAGGACACCTGATAGTGTTCCACAAAGAAATTAAGGGTTTTTTTAAAGAAAAATATTAATAAAATTTGATGTATTTAAGTACATGTTTTAGATGAAATTCCTTATGTTATCGGAAAGTTAACTTTTCTCCAAGAATTTAATCTTTAGGGTAACAAATTAGCAGGTATAATTTCATCTTTCTTTTCTTCTCCATTTTGTAATTCTTGTAAAGCAAATAAAATAAAAATCATTGTTAAACAAATAAATTAAGGTTATGTTATGCTTTTTAAATTATATGTTTGAGGTGAAATTTCATCGATTATTAGAAACTTAACTTCTTTCGAGTACATCAATCTTTCTCATAATAATTTAACAAGTATAATATCATCATCCTTCTATTTCTTTTGTTATAGTTATACAATCCGTTCTAGTTACATTATATTTTTTTAACGATATGAGATGATTATAATATAGTGTCTATTCATTGAATGATATTTCTTTTTAGGTATAATGCAATAAAATAACTCTAACGTTTGACAGTAGTGTCAAATTTAACCGTATTGTTTTTTTACACATTTGACCGTTCAACGTTTCATTTTGGGTCAAAAACACACTCGGTGGATGGAAATCGTTAGTCAACTAACGATCAACGCCTGATGTTGACCAAGTATGTACATGTGGACAGATTATCCAACTCATGGTACATGATGACATGGCATATCCATGTGGGATACATGATGATGTGGCATGTCCACTTAGACTAAATGCTGACGTGACATGTCCACTTTGACTAAATATTGACATCGCATGTCCACGTGTGATGCCACATCAGTAAATATTTTTAAAAATTAATTAATAATTATTTTTTATTAAATTATTAACAACCAATCATATATCGCCATGTGGCACATGAGATTTTTTATTAATTAATAAATTTTTTATTAAATTATTAACAACCAATTCCACCTGTTTTTCAAACCTTGACTTCTATCATATACCTTTTCCTTTTCCAAAACAAATTGACAGGTACAATTTAATCTTTCCTTTCTTGCCTTTTCGTTCTATGCAATTATTTTTAAGAAAACAAGATAAAAGTTACTTCAAGTACACACTCGAGATAAAAGTTACTGCCACCTACTCCGTCAAATGTTAACCGTATGTGGATTGGTTGACCTCATTTAAATAGTTAAGTGATATGTTTGACAAAATTAAAAGATCGATGATCAAATTGAAATCCCCATAATTAAGTAGTGATTGGTGTAGTTTACTATAGTTTTTGTTCGCTATACGCCCATGCATGTATGATGTTTCATACACCCAATTCTAACTCAGTTCCAAATTTTCTAAAGGGCGAGTTCCAAGTCCACCGCCTTCATTGCAGTTGTATGATGTTTCAGAGAACAAATTAGCAGGAGAAATCCCTTCCTCAATATGCAACTTGAGTTCCCTTACAGTTCTCAATTTGAACAAGAATGGTTTGGGTGGAACGATCCCAAATTGCATTGGAAACTTGCATGGTAAACTACCACAAAGTTTTGCTAAAGGGTGCACGATGAGAGGTTTTCGCATCAACAACAACCAAATTGAAGGGTCACCACGATCTTTGAGTCATTGCAAAGATTTAAGACTTCTCAATGTCGGGAACAACGATTTAACCGACACTTTCCTGAAGTGGTTACAAAGTTCGGATCAGCTACAAGTTCTTATCTTGAGATCGAACAGATTCTACGGTCAAGTAGATGAATCTGATGTCGTGGTTTCCTTCACTCGTTTGTGTGTCATTGATCTTTCTCACAATAACTTCAGTGGCTACTTACCTACAAAATTCTTTGAAAATTTGCATGCCATTAGAGAAGGGGTGAAAATGGAGTACATGATAGATAGAACGACAGATGGAACGATGTCTTATGTGGATGGTTTATCTTTTCAACAAAAGGGCTGGAAATGGAGTTTCATTCACCATTAACCATTTGGATGGCAATGGATTTTTAGAACAATCAATTCTTCGGAGAAATTCCGAAAACAGTTGGTAAGCTTCTTTCACTCATTGTCCTGAACATCTCTTGTAATTGTTTAACAGGTCCTATCCCGTCTTCATTTGGTGAATTGTCAGAACTTGAATCATTAGATCTCTCATCAAACAAGCTCCATGGAAAAATTCCAACAGAGCTGAAAAATCTTGGATTTTTGGCAGTGTTAAACCTTTCTCATAATAATCTCACCAGACTCATTCCTCAAGGCAAACATTTTGATACTTTCACTACTGAATCCTACTTAGAAAACTTGGGTTTATGTGGACTGCCACTATCAACAAGGTGTGATAATGATCATGAGAACTCCAGCCAAATTTGATAGAGATGATGATGATAATGAGGAATTGGAAGTTTTCTGTACTGATTGGGTATGGATGTGGGTTAGTGTTGGGACTGAGCATGGGATATATTGTATTCACAACCGGGAAACCATGGTGGATCATTAGGATTACTGAGAGAGTTCAACAAAGATTTACAAAAAGGTCGTACTCTTTGGCTGATGTTTTGCAAAAGAAGACGTGAACAGAGCAGAAAACTTCATTGCTCGGAGGTAGGGGAGTCTTTTCCTATAGCTGTTTTGCAGTTGTCTTGGTGTCTTGTTGTATGTTGTGTTGTTTGTATTATGTTTTCTTACGTGTTTCCTTTATCATTTCAATAAATTTGATGTGTTTGCAACAAAGAATGGATGCCCGAAGGGAGGTTAATTTCTTTATTATCGTGGAAGGATACGAAGAAAAACAAAATCTTCTATTTAAATGGACGACCAACATCAAAGCCCAATACCCTTTTATAAAACCTCATTAATAATTTATGTATATTTGATTCGACTCGTACTCAACCCAATTCGAATTGACCGAAGATCAAAAACCTTTTGGCAAAAACTGGCTTCCTTCCTCCTCTTATGTCTTTGCTTCTGTTTGCAGCATTCCGGGTTACTCTGTCTACAAATCCACCCAACCTCTACACTGATCAGTCCACCCTTTTAGCCTTGAAATCTCATATAACTCATGATCTGCACAATCTCCTAGCAACAAACTGGTCCACTTCTATCTCTGTTTGTAATTGGGTCGGGGAAACATGTGGATCCAGACATCACAGAGTCACTGCTATGAATTTGTCAACCATGGATTTCACAGGCACCATCCCATCTCAATTGGGAAATCTATCTTTCCTTGCCTCGCTCGACTTCCGTCACAGTAGCTTCCATGGCTCTTTACCAACTGAGTTAGCCAATTTGCATAGGCTGAAATATTTGAACTTCGGTAGCAACAGCTTCAGAAGGGAAATCCCATCATGGTTTGATTACTTTGCTAAACTTCAAGGCTTGTGGTTGTACATGAATAACTTCAACGGTGTTATCCCGTCCACTCTAGGCAATTTGTCGAAACTAGAAACGTTGAGCTTGTACGACAACAACTTCAAAGGACAGATTCCTATAACGATGGGAAATCTTTGAAATTTGAAATGGTTGTATATGTATAATAACTCTCTTTCAGGTTCCTCACCTTTCTCGAGCTTAAAATACATTTTAATTAGTAAAACAAATGTCGTAGAACTAACAATCTCATTGCAGGCCATCTACCATCGGGAGTATTTTATAACCTTCCTGAATAACAAGAACTCAACTTAGGAGGGAATCGTATTTCTGGTAGAATTCCAAATAGTCTATTCAAGTGCAAAGAGTTGACTTTTTTATCATTGAATAGAACCTATTCGGAGGGAAATTTGCATGCCATTACAGAAGGGTATGAAAAGAAAGTTGACCCAAAGTACATGATCGATGCATCGACTGGTGCAACGGTGTATTATGCCTTCGATTTATCTTTGACAATGAAAGGATTGGAAACAGGGTTTGAGAAACTATTAACCATATGGACAGCCATCGACTTCTCCAACAACCAATTCATGGGAGAAATTCCTAAAACAATTGGTGAGCTTCATTCACTAATTGTTTTAAACCTCTCTCATAACTGTTTAACAGGTCCTATCCCATCATAATTAGGTGAATTGTCAGAAATTGAATCTTTAGACCTCTCATCAAACAAACTCCATGGAAGAATTTCGACAGAGTTAAAAGCTCTTGGATTCTTAGAAGTGCTAAATCTTTCTCAGAATAATCTCAAGGGACCCATTCCTCAGGGCAAACAATTTGACACTTTCACTAATGATTCCTATATAGGAAAATTTTCTTTTGGACAAGTAAGAATTTTATTATCCAAAAATCAAAGTTTTACTACAAATCATTCAACCAATCAATACAAAAAGGAAACTATGCACACCTAAACAAAGACAGTGAATGACAGAGCTATAAACCCCAAGCATTACAAAGGTTAAGATTAGTACTATCTAGCCTATTGATATTTTTCCCCTAAGACAAAACCGAACAGCATCAATGATTTCGGTTAGCAAAATTGTAGCAGGTCTTGACCGATGTTGGAAAATTCGCTGATTTCTTTCCTGCCATATAGTATAGATAAAAGCAGACCAAGCTATCTTTAAAATGAAGGTGATAAGAGATTTCCCTTTCCATTAAGTGCTTGCTGTAGCAACCGTTTCTTCCCATGATAAGTTTGTAGGATTCATTCCATTCAATATCAAAACAGAATTCCATAAGCAGACGGCTAGTGAACACTCAGAAAATAGGTGGTTTCTTGTCTCGTGAGATAAGTTGCAGTTTACACATGTTGTATCAGTGCTAATTCCCATTCGTTGCAGGCGGTCTCTGGTCTGTAATCTGTCCTGTAGAGCCATCCAAACGATTAAGCAATGCTTCGGGATATGCATTGGAAACCAAATAAGTTTATGCCATGGAACTTTCTGCCCTTTTGGTCTAATCTCATCCCAAACTTCCTTCATCTGAAGCGAGTTTGAATAAAAAGAGACTGCATCAGCCCTCATTTTTAAAATTCTTTTTGTGTTCCAGCTGACATTGGAGGCAGGTTCAAATTTGGGTCTGTGCGGGTTGCCATTATCTCAAGGTACTGTTTCCTAATCATTTCAATAAATTTGATGTAAAAGAAATATTGCAAGGAGTGGATGCTCCAAGGGAGGTTAATATCTTTATTATCATTTCAATCCACGTATGAGCTTTTGCATGACCAGCCAACACTAACCTCGCATCATCACAGAGCCCCTATTGCTGTTGCACTGGAAGCAACATCGAGAGCCCCATCTACACTAATTTTAACCCTACCTCACGGTGGTCTAGTCCATCGGTGCTGGAACCGACCAAAACTGATTGGGAGGATCGGTCTGCTCATCCAGCTTGGTGGTCTAGTCCCTACTGTCCTGCTCCCCACCACATAGAACACAGCCCCCCTCCACATGGAGACCAAAGGAATTAAGCCTGTCCCTAGTGGGCACCGTATATAATTAATCGTTATTCTATATGGTTGATCTTTTCATAGGAGGTTTTATATCATCTTGTTCCAGTCCTCTTGTTTCTGTTTAAATTTTTAATTTTTTTCCTGAAATGAAAAATAAACTTTTATATCATGTTTATCATTCTTGTTCAAATTATATCTATAACTAAACATTAAATATTTAGTTGAAAATTTTAATTGTTAATAAAATATAGAGCTTAATACAAAATAAGGTTCTAAACTATACTCCAAATTTACTTTTGGTGCCTAAAGAATTTTTCGCTCAAAATATATATCTAACGTTTTTCCTTTACACTTTGAAGTGTCTAATATTAAATTTGGAATGTTAAGTGACACATGTCACGTTTATAAAATTTTAAATTTTTTATTTAAATTAAAAATTTTAAGTGTCTACGATTATGTTTTCGATTGCATTATGTTTACCACAATCTACGAAGAAGAAACTATTTATGTTACAAGTTACACTTTGCATGAACAAATTTCATTGCATATATGAAAGAAGAATTCAACAAAGAATGAAATATGTTCGAAAACGATATCATGTTATCTATTTCTTGCACCAAGTCAGCTTCGTCGTCTTCCGTTGTTGCCGTCGGAGAGTCACCTTTCCAGCCAGTTCTTCTAAGCTTACAAATAACCCATTCTTTAAACATATCTCGATTCAATCGATACTCATACATAATCCAATCCGTTTTTCTAAATCCATCCGTTCTACTCTTCTTCCTATAATCATTGTTTCTACCCAGATACTCATAAAAATTCAACACGTTCAAAAACCCTATCACTCGACCATGATAGTCCCTAACAGGTTTTTCACTTGCAATAGATCTCCAGAAACCATCTCCCTCTGATGCATGCACATCTCTCCGAGGTCTTTTCCCGTTAAAATTCTTTTGCGCAATCCTCTCTGGACGAAAAAACACGAACCATTGGTCGTCTCTTCTGAGTATATTCGATTCATCATTCAAAAGAAAAACCCTGGCTTGCATGAGTAAATATTGCCGATCTTGAACAGATCACCAAATTGACCTAAACTGGCCACAACGTCGCCATTGTTGTTGATGAGCACGGGGAGATAGATTAAAAGTAGCTCGATGTCACTAGGGTCGAATACCATGCCCAGAGGAAGATACTCCATAATTTCTTGGTTTTATAGTTTAGGTTTTATCTCTTAAGAGCAATCTTTTAATATGAAATAAGGTTAATTATTTACCTGTATCTTTCTCCTCAAGAGAAAATGTTTATTTTAATTTTTTTTATAAAATCAATATAACTTATAATGTATCTTTCTAGTTTCTCCTCAAAACAAATATTATTAATAATTTTTTAAGATTAAAAAAATAAATATATAGAAATAATAATTTTAATTATATTAAATTAAAATTATTTATTTTAATATTTTTTGTATAAAATTAAAATAGCTTATACTGCATCTTTCTTGTCAAAATTATTACTATCAAATTTTAAATGAAAAAATAGAAACATATAAAAATAATAATTTTAATTATATTAAATAGAAGGTTTTTATCTTAATACCTTTTTATTTAAAATTAAAATAACATGTATTGTGTAAAAAGAATATCACTTCAAATATGCATTAATTAAATTACTTTAGTGGTTAAATGAATGATTGTTATTTCTAGAGCTTCTACGTTCAAGAATAAACAATTACAATAGAGAAAATCACCTCAGTGACCAAAAATGCCTTATAATATACGATTTTAACCAACTTTTTCCGGATTTGCCAAAATGACCAACAAAATCGCAATGCGATCGCTAATTCGCAACGCGATCTCCATTATAGCAAATTCGCATTGCATTTCGCGTTGCGATAGTTGGAAATCGCGTTGCGATGGTCTATAGTGTCGTTGCGATTTTCCCAATTCGCAATGCGAATAAGTAAATCGCAACGCGAATTGGAAAAATCGCAACGCGAATTGGAAAAATCGCAACGCGATAATACAAAATCGTAACGCGATACTGACTTTCGCAACGCGATTCTGACTTTCGCAACGAGATAATACAGAATCGCAATGCGATTTTCAAAGTTCGCAACAGGTTTTAGTTTCGCAACACAAATTTTTTGGGTATATATCTACGCAGCAGCAACAACTCATAACCTAAATCCCTAAATCGCAACTCATTCCATCTCCATCTTTCACTCTCTCTGGCGACATCCGTTCCTACATCCTTCCCCATCCGGCAACAGGTCTTAGTTTCGCAGCTCGTTTGTTTAGTAAATTAATTTACAACCATGAAATCATCTAATGTTGATCATGTTTGGATAGATTTGTGTTTTGGAGGGTCATGGTAGAATGTTCATGGTGTTTTACAATATATGCCTTTACCCATGAATCTTCAACTAAAACTGTCATTAAAAAAGTTAACTTATGAAACTCTAATGTTACGTGTTTCAAAGAAATTGAATTTAGAGCCCCTAAGTGGATTTAGGCTATCTTACCAGAGAAATGGTAAAGTTTATTTGTTAACCGACAATGAAGATGTTGAACGATTCATTGCTTACATTAGTGTTTCAAGTGATGATGTTACAATGTATGTTGTTGAACCTAGAAGTAGTATTGTTGGGTCAGTAGCGGGTAGTAATCAACTAAGTTTTTCTCAAAACCCACAACCTTTCTCTAATCCAAATCCCAATCAACTTTCAGCACCAAATTCCGGTTTTCGTATTGACCAATTAGACGATGATGAGCCAACAGAAAAAATTGTGAGTACTAGTCAGTATTCGAAATTTGATCTTGGTCAATACCCGGACTTTGATATTAGTCAATACTCAGATTTTGATGATGTTTCAGAAGAAGAAACAGACCCTGCGTGTAATGATTTTGATATTGGTCAATACCCGAATTTTGATGATGAAACAGCCGTTGCCGAGGAAGATGTTGTTGATGATAATGAGGAAGAAGTTACGACTGTGAATGAACATGTTGAACATCCATTCTGTAATTCATATAATCCTGAAGAAGAAAAAGAAGAAGAAAAAGTCCCCGAAGAAAAGAAAATGCCACGGGAGTATAACTGGAATATGCCAGAATTACTTCAGATACCGGAAGAAGAGTTGGTAAAGAAAGCAGTTGATTGTTACACAAAAGTTATTCGTATCAAGAAAGATGATTGTTTTGATACAAAGGAAGACTTGAAGATAGCTTTGTATACGAAATGTGTAGAAGATGGCTATCAACTAAAAGTTAACAAATCAAGCAAAGATCGTTTCGAAACAAGGTGTATGATTGACAAAAACTGTACGTGGCGTATGATTGCAAAGAGGATAAAAGATTGCGAAATGTTTCAAGTTAGGACTTTTATTGATAAACATACATGTTCAAGAACCCAAGTTTTTCCTCACCATAGACAGGCAAACAAAAAGGTGTTGGGTGGTTTTCTGGCTGAGTTAATGTTTTTGAATGGCAGAGTATATCGGGGACATGAAATTATGACTGACATGAATGCTCGGTTCAAGATTAGTATATCATATTCTCAGGCTTGGAGAGCCAAATGTTATTCCTTGGAATTGTTGAGGGGGTCGCCAGAAGCATTGTTTGCCCAACTGCCGGCTTATTGTCACAATTTAAAGCTGAAAAATCATGGGTCGGTAACTCATATCAAAACATATAGAGATGTACGCTTTGAGTTACTGTTTATCGCCATTGGTGCTGCGGTTAGTAAATCAATATAATTCTGTTGACTCATTTTTGTTAGTTACATGCATTTCACATTTAAATGATTATATTTCTTGTGTATATTATTTTGTAGATTCGTTCGTTTATTACTTGCATGCGCCCAGTTATTATAGTTGACGGAGCACATTTGAAAGGTCGATACCTTGGAGTAAACTTATTAGCAGTAGCCATGGATGCTAACAATGGGATATTGCCAATAGCTTACGGGGTTGGCAAATCTGAAACCTCTGATTCATGGACATGGTTTATGGGGCATCTTAGGGATTACATAGGTCCTATTAGCAAACTGACAATCATATCCGATAGGGCAAACTCAATTGACAACGCTGTTAGAAGGTGTTTCCCAGATGCTTTTCATGGACTTTGTGGTGTTCATTTGTATAGAAATCTAAAATCAAGGTCTGCTGGTATAAAAAAGCACAAATGGACATACTGGAAGGCTGTAAAAGCTTATCGGGAAGTGGATTTCAATAAGCATATAAACTGTTTAAGACGTGTTTTGCCTCAGTGTGCTCAAACACTAGAAGAGGTCGGGTTTGAAAGATGGTCAAGAGTACATCAACTTGGAGCAAGATATGGTTTCATGACGTCTAATAGTGCAGAATCAATCAACGCTCTAAGTCGTCATTCCCGGAAATTACCCATTACTATGTTAATGGAGTTTTTTTCGAGCCTCTATTCAACAGTGGTACTACAAGAAAAGAAACCATGCAAGTATTATTTCTTTGAATTCGTAACTTATCATATATTTTACTAAGTATTATTTATTTATATTTACAGGAACATTGGAACATCATGTTACACCATGAACTGAAAAAAAGATAACGAAACGTGTTGTGAAGTCAACGTCATGGAGAATTGAACCATGTTCAAACACTTTGTTTGAAGTACTGGATAATAACTTAAATGGGCTTGTCGATCTAAATGCAAGGACGTGTAGTTGTATGAAATGGCAAACATCTCGTTATCCGTGTGGCCATGTTATAAAAGTTGCTCTTCATCTAAACCAAGATGATTCAAGCACATACGCTATGGATTGCTATACTACAGAAGTATATCGACAGACTTATACCGAGATTGTCTACCCTATTCCACATCCTTCTGAGTGGGACATACCAGATGACTTACAAACAGTTTTGCCACCAACCATGGACAGAAGGCTACCTGGCCGACCAAAAAGTCACGATCGTATACCGTCTAAGGGTGAAGAGAAGAAGAGATCGACATGTAGTCGGTGCAAGGAAAGTGGTCATACAAGGTTGACATGTGGTTCACTAGTGCCATCACAATCATCTTTTCCTCTACCAAAATATGGATCCTCATCAAAATCCAAAGCTCATATGGTGTCAAGCAAAAGGCAATCAAAATCGCAATCATCTTCAAAATCCCAATCACAATCGGCTTCACCTTTTGGGACCGTTAACTTAGGTGATTTTTAAATGCAAACTTTGTATTATGTGTATTTTATGTGTGCACTTTTAACATTTTCAGTTAGGCATGTATTAGTAACTTGAGTTTGAACATTGCTATGATCTGTTCAGTTGTTATCACTTATTAGACATTCATTTGACTATCGCAACGCGAAATGGCTATCGCAACGAGAAAATCGCATTGCGATTTTCTCGTTGCGATTTTTATTTCACATTGCGATTCTCTCGTTGCGATAGTCAGTTTCGTGTTGCGATAGTCTGTTTTGCCTTCAACATAATGCATATTGAAATCAACAAATAAACTATTACATTTCAATCAATTAAACAAGCACAAATAAGAATTATGTACACATCAATTAAACAAATCAACATTTACAAATCATCTTCAAAATCCCAATCACAATCGGCTTTACCTTTTGGGACCGTTAACTTAGGTGATTTTTAAATGCAAACTTTGTATTATGTGTATTTTATGTGTGCACTTTTAACATTTTCAGTTAGGCATGTATTAGTAACTTGAGTTTGAACATTGCTATGATCTGTTCAGTTGTTATCACTTATTAGACATTCATTTGACTATCGCAACGCGAAATGGCTATCGCAACGAGAAAATCGCAATGCGAAATGAAAATCGCATTGCGATTTTCTCGTTGCGATTTTCATTTCGCATTGCGATTTTCATTTCGTATTGCGATTCTCTCGTTGCGATAGTCAGTTTCGTGTTGCGATAGTCTGTTTTGCCTTCAACATAATGCAGATTGAAAATCAACAAATCAACTATTACATTTCAATCAATTAAACAAGCACAAATAAGAATTATGTACACATCAATTAAACAAATCAACATTTACAAATCAATTA